TAGGGGACACCCAAATACCCTGGGCAAATGCACCATCAGCTACATATCTTGCGTGTCGGGGCCTCGGACCCCCCCCCCAGCTCCCTCCGAAATAAATACACCAACACAAGTATATTGGGGACTCCCGCTGCGCTCCGAAGGCTTGCGGATAGCAGCCTGAAGCCCCCGGAGCGCAGCGCCAACTCCCGCTGCACTCCTGGGGCTTCAGGCAGCTATCAGCAAGCCTTGGAGTGCAGCAGGAATTCCCGCTGCACTCCTAAGGCTTGCAGATAGCCGCCTGAAGCCTGGAGAGCGAGAGGGGTCGGTGCACACTGATCCCTCTTGCTCTCCAGACTTCGCTTCGCTGGAGAGGCGCTGCACAGTTTTCCTTCTCTGCGCAGCGCCCCTTCAGCCAAGCGGGAGGAGAAATGGAAGGGGCTCCGTTTCTCCTGCCGCTTTGCTGAAGGGGCGCTGAGCGGAGAGGGGGAGAATGTTTTTTTTTTCCTGTTCTCCCCCTCCTATGGTCGGGTGCGTCCTATAGAGCGAAAAATATGGTAATTTCCTTAAGAATAGCTCAAAAATGTTTTTCCCCCAGAGATTTTGCAAAAAAAGTTCAAGGACTTTGGTCAAAACTGAAAAAAAAGCTCAACGAAAAGGATTTTCACTTTTTAAAATGCGGCAGCCCTACAGAACTCTGAGGAGCAAAGGAAATGCTCTGCACCGTTTTCTGTAACCTTTCTTATAACATCCTGTTCACCAACTCTTGGGCTAAGAGGTTTTTTAGAGTTTGTTCTGGTAACAATGCTACAAACTAAGCTGTTAACTTCATGAGGAACAACCCACCAGCTACGTCCTTTCTCCAATGTTTTTAATATTGCTTTTTATTTTTAAAAATGTGTTGTTATTTCATTGCTTGTCACTAGGGCTCCTTGGAGAGGAAAAGCAGGACAGAAATAGATCAAACAACACAATTGCTCTCCTCGCCGTAAGCAACAGGTCACACTCATGGTAGGACCAGCCTTCTCCACTGTCTGAGGATGTTTGGACTACAACTCCCATCAGCCCCAGCCAGCATGGGAGCTGTAGTCCAAAACATCTGGAGGGGACCAGCTTGGGGTATAAAGTCTGGTAAGACACACAACACATTATGTGCATATATGCCACTGCTAGTTAACTGCAAAATCACACAACATTTTCACCAGTCTTCATTAAAGGAAAACATTTCGTATCATCTCAAGCACAGATGTTTTTAAATGGAACCAGTTTGCGCACATTCAGATGTTGCTTTCTGAGAGTCACCGCAGGCACAATCCACGAGGGAGGGCAGCGACTCCATCAGTCCTGCAAGGATTTCACCCAGTCCTTTTTTTCTAATAAAAAATCTTTAGGAGCACTCTCATTTTGACTCAAGAAAATCACCATTTTATAGTTCAAATCGGGGGAAATAATTACAGCAAATGGACAAAAGTACAAAATGTTTAGGGGTATGCATACCCCTGCATACCCCCCCCCCAGAAAAAAGCAGTGATTTCACCTGCCCCCAGATCAGCTGTCTGAGCGAAGGTATCTGTTGTTGTGGCAGCCCTGCCCTCATGCCCCCCCCCAATATATCAGCACCCACTGTTTTCCCAGATTTCACTAGGGGTGGGGTGTGAAGGAATTCTTTAAGGGAAGATTTGCTCTTCAAGATGCCCAGAATCTGCATAGCCAGAACTACCGGTATATGACCCCATTATAAGAACCAGGACAGCTGTCTGAGCTTGCTTTTCCCCTCCTCCCTCCCCAACTTTTTTGCCTTGTGTGTTGTGTCCTGCAGATTGCAAACTTGCAGGCAGGAAGTGCCTTTCTTCTGGTTTTGTACACTACTGTAGGAACCTTTTGGCGGAAGGTTTATAAATGTTCTACAGAAATATGGAAGTCTCAATTTCTCACAGCTTATCAAGGTCAAGGATGCACCACGCACCTGGCAATAGCCACAAAGACACTGAAGCACATGGACTTATTCTTGTTCATCCTGAGGCCCCTAAAGCTGTATCCAGTGTTGGAGACAGAGCCCTGGGGGAACAAGGCTCCTTTAGCCTACTCCAGAGCAGTGGCCATTCTTAAAATTATAAATATGCTCCCTCCACTCTAGTGCATTCAGGCCTATACAAATTGGCTAGGGACAGTGGCGTAGTGTGGGGGGTGCAGGGGGGGCTGGCCGCCCCGGGCGCAACATCTGGGGGGGGGGCGCACTCGCCGCCTCTGGAGTCGCCGAAGAGCCTCGGGCGCAGGCTGTAGCGGAGCCCCATGTCTCACGGAACCGACGAGCTGGCAGCGGCTCTCAGCACTCGCCGTGGTCCCCGCGCGTCAGGGCCGCGGAGGGCGCGCCAGGCAGCCCCTCCTCACAGCCCTGCTGCAGCTGCAGCTGCTTGGCCATGTTGCATTTTCCTCGCCTCTCTGCCCTCCTCCTCCGGGCAAGCGGCATCATTTGGGCGGCAGCGCCAGCGGCAACTCGCCTCAGATCACCTGACACGGACCCGCCGCCACCGCCGTGGCTACCTTACCGTAAATACCCCAGCCCAGGAAGCAGCAAGAAGAAGCTGGCAGCGGCGGCAGGTTAGGGTTAGGGGCGCAAATGACTTGCCTGCCCGGGTTAGGGGGGCAAATTACTTGCCTTGCCCCGGGTTAGGGGGCGCAAATTACTTGCCTTGCCCCAGGTGCTGACAACCCACGCTACGCCGCTGGCTAGGGATGTAAGAAGCTGACAAGCAGTGACTCTCCATAGTTTCAGACATGGAATTTTTCCCTGCCCTACCTGGAGATGTTGCTGGGGATTGAATCTGGGATCTTCTGCATGCAAAGTGGATGTTCTGGCACTGAGCTACAGCCCTTTGGGATGTTTTGAGTTAGCCCAGAGTCCTGGGACAAGTTTCTATTGTCATGGTTCAGCCTCAGGACATGCAAAGTACGGTAATCAAGAAGAGCATTTCTGCACATGTGCAGTTTGTGTTCCTTTGGTCTTGGTTAAGGGAAGCCTTATTCCCCTCAGCAAGAAGGTACGCAAGCCTCCCCATTTAAAATAAATAGATTAGGGATAGGAAATAGGCATTTATTCATGCATATTCTGGAAATGCATTGCATCAGCCTGGAAGGAGGTCCCTTCCAAATCTACAATTCTATGAAATGTGGCTGCATTGCTTTGCTGCACAATGTGTAACACACAGACACACTTCACCTGTTCTGTTCACACAGTGTTCCCAAGCCAATTGGATCAGAGTCTCACTTCTGTCTGATCCTTGTTGGATCAGTCCAATAGATCCTGTTCCACCATCCTGTTCTCACAGCAGCCAACCAGATGCCTGGAGGGAAACCCGCAAGCGGGATCCAAACACAAGAGCTCTCTCCCCTCCTGAGGCTTCCAGCAACTGCTGTTCAGAAGCCTCAGAAAATAAATGGACAATGTGGCCGGTGTAAGAATGCCTCTGTTCCTCATTCCATGTACAGTCTTGCATGGTGCACAACAGCACTATCCAAATTATGGATCCCTGCAACACAAACATACTCAAAACAAGGGCTCAGACATCCCAATGCACATGCACATACAGGGAAACGTAAGAAGCTGGTCTATACAAACTATTGGCCTATCTAACTCAGTATTGTCTACACTGACTGGCAGCGAATCTCCAGGGTTTCAGGCAGGGGAAGATCCCAGCCCTATCTGGGATGCTCTGCATGCACTACAGATACTCTACCACTGGGTTACGACCCCCTCCCAGAAGTGATACCATTTTCACGGGGCAAACACCTTTCCGCTGCAAACATCCCAGAAGACACAGACTCAACCCCTCACCCACTTTTCAGTGAATTAACTGAGTGCAAGAGAATATAAAACTGTATCATGCAAAGTCCTTGGACCATGCAGTACTGCCTATAGACTCAGTGCCAGTGGTTTCAAGCAGCAGCTTTCCCTAGCCCTACCTGGAGATGCCTGGGACATTCTGCATGCAGAGCAGGAGCTCTACCACTGACACATTTCCCAATATATTTTTCTGTATGGCTTTTCAACTTGACATGTTGCCAAGGCAAACTTAATACGGTTATTCATAATTCATCTCATAGGAACACCAGGATTTGCTTTATACCACATCAGATCACTGAGGTCTATCTAGCTCCATATTGTCCACACTGACTAGCAGAGGCTCCCCTGGATTTCAGCCCTAACTGGAAACACCATTTGGGACTGAACCTGGGACCTTCCGGCAATCCGGCATGCAAAGGGGATGCTCTACCACGGAGTAACTCTGCCACCAGCCTGCTCCATACCCCTTACGATAAGAGGCGGTTTAGGGTTGCTGTTGCAATCAACAAACCCGCAGTGCCAAAATGGGCAGCAGAATGACCAGCTCTCTCTCTCTCGCCCCAGACTAAGAGCGGTGAAATAGCGCGGCCACCCTGCATTAGCCGATCACCCTTGGGCAGGATTTCTCCCTGCACCTTTTAGCCTAAGAGGAAGTGTGTGCGTAACGGTGCACAAAACAGGAACTGGAAAACGGATTAAAGATTTATAGCCCTAGAATGGAGAAACCACCCTTCCCCTCAAGCCAGCACCCTGAATATGTTCCACGGGAGAGGGGCGCGTTCGCCAAAAGGAATAAAAACAAATGACAGGACGGCCGTCTTACCTTGCCTTTTCACTGGCATCTCGGAGGCAGTTTGTACATGTACAACCTTAATCTCCTAATCTCTCTCCCAAACAGCTGCCAGCTTAAAAGATTTGCAGGACAGATTGCAAACTCTACCCCCTCCCCAAGGGCATTCTGGGAGATGTAGTATTGGTCGGGCCCCTTTTGAAGCCTGCAGCTTGACACATCCCAGATCACAAAAAGTCGGGCGAAAGTTTCACGAAAGGCTTGAGATCCAGCAAAATACTCAGGCTTTGGAATTGTTTTCAAAAGTGAGGTTGCTTTAAAAATGTCACGGCCGAGAGTTCCTTTTAGAAATTTTTGTAACGTGACAAGTTACATCAAGCATACACCAGCTCAGTTTCACATGTTTAATAACACTGTTCATAAAACACAATCAGATAGCATCCATAAGTGGGAATGTTGACAACAATCATTAGTACAGCAGATCCAAAAGGGGGAAAAAGTTGCTTGGGATGGCCCACTCCCCCAACATTGCATTTCAACTGTGACAACTTCAAATCCCCCCCCCCTTCAAATGACTTGGGCGACATCAAACTTAAATTCCAAGACTCTTACTTCCAACAAGTGCCAAACTCCAACCCAATTTTGGCTGAGAAAGAGAGGTAAGCAGTTAAGTGAGCACCCGGAGGCCAAGATGTGTATGTTATACAACCAAAGATGCAAGACTTGGCATTTTGGGTGGGATGAGGGCACTTCTGCTACTTATTTTACAATCCTTTCCCCCAATGGCTCAAATCCCTTCCACCCCAGGAACGTCACAGAAACTGCCCAGTTGGCAAGACGTGTTTTCCTCTGCCACTATAAACGTTCCCCGCCCCCTTTTTCTGTAAAAAGCCTTGCAGACTGGGTACTAAAAACCCATGCTCTACTCTCCGATGTGCTGCCTTCCACTTTCTGTAATTTGCTGCGTGTGTGTCAGCGACTATTTTTAAATCAACACTTGGAAGATTCAAGACGGATAAAAGGAAATTCTCATTTAACCTAAGTTAAACTGCAGAGTTCGTTCCCACAAGGAGGTAGCGGGTGGCCACAAACTACGATGGCTTTACAGGAGGACAAGACAAACTCCTGGATGTAAAGGCTCTCAAACGGCCGCTAACCACAATGGTTTATGTTCTATCTACATGCACGGTTGGAGGCAGCTGCTGGGAGTCACAAAATGGGGCCAGCACTGCTGTTGCATTCAGGCCCTGCCTGCTGGGGCACCTGGCTGGCCACCGTGAGAAAAGGACGTTGGACTAGATGGGCCATTGGCCTGATCCAGCAACCAGGCTCTTCTTATGCTCTAACTGCACCATCGGAGGCAGTATCCTTTCGAACACCAGTTGTTGGGAATCACAAGTGGCAAAAGCATGTTTGCATTCAGGTTCTGCTTCTGGGATTCCCACAGGGGAACCTGGTTGGCCGCTGTGAGAACAGAACGCTGGATTAGGTGGGCCGGATCCAGCCGCAGGGCTCTTCCGATGTCAACACGTGCATTACACTGGACAGCTTCTCTGAAAAATCTATCCCACTTCAGCAGCTCTCCAGATTTGTCGATGCAATTTAATAGGTTTTTTTTCTCCCGCAGAAAATACAGCAATCAGAGGCAGAGGGCTTTATACACGGCGCTGATTTATAGCTAAACTTTCCAACTCAAGTGGCTCGTGAATTCTGGGACGCCAATGAAATAGGCAAGCAGCTGGATTTAGGAGTCTGGTCCCCTTTTGCAATTCAGAGAATTCTGACCTCAGAATTTATGATAATTGCACTGGGGACGGGAGAAGAGTCTTCGCTAAGGTCACGGTGCGCATGCGTGGAGGGGAAGATTTGCCACTCTCTCAAAGGAAGCCAAATACAGAATTCAAATGAAAGCCTTTCCCCACTCCTTCAAAATTCTACCTACTACCTGAGCACAAGAATAGCTGAGATTCCTGCATTGCAGGGGGTTGGAGTGGATGTCCCTTCCAACTCTACAATTCTGCGATCGTACTCTAGTATTCACGTACCCTGCCAAAACAAACAGGAGTCCGTTAAGGCATTTATAAAGCAAAGAGGTATATTTCTCTTGGGAGGGGGAATGAGCTACGGACGGTTGAACCCCCTCCTTTCTGAATCTGCAGGCTCTAATCGTTACATCTCTTAGGGTGGGGGCAAAGAGGGTGTAGGAGACAGCTCCAGGAACGGCTGGCACGTCTCAGATGCCCAGAGGGTTGTGGGAAACCACCCCTTCGTTCTCCACCAACGCTTTGGAGATGCCCCGGAGGTTCCTGAAGAAGTGGCGTGTGTTGTCGGAACGCAGGGAGGTCAGGTTCTGAGTGATGCGGTCGTAGGCCTGAGTGGGGGAAGAGCGAGAGATGGAGCATAAAAATGGTGGAAGTCTCAGCACACAGTGCCAAGTCTTCACTCTCTTTGATGCGCCACACACGCCTGTGCTTAAAGTAACAATTATTGTGCCTCAGGGTTTGTTTTTTTCTTCCTCCCTCCAAACTCCCTTTCCTTTTGTGCTATGACTTTTAGATTGTTAATAATAATAAATAATAATAATAATAATAATAATTTATTTATACCCCACCCATCTGACTGGGTTTCCCCAGCCACTCTGGGCGGCTCCCAACAGAATTAAAAGCACAATAAAACATCAAACATTAAAAACTTCCCTAAACAGGGCTGCCTTCAGATGTCTTCTAAAAGTCAGATAGTTGTTTATTTCCTTGGCATCTGATGGGAGGGCGTTCCACAGGGCAGGTGCCACTACCGAGAAGGCCCTCTGCCTGGTTCCCTGTAACCTCACTTCTCACAGGGAGGGAGCGAGACAGGCACTGCCTTATAGTTTACATTCATAAGCCACTCAAAGGGTCGTCCAAGAGTGGGATTTTTAAAAAATGCTTTAAATAAATGAGTAATACAATCACAGCCCCAAGAGTGAAGCATGCACCACTGATTTCTGGGCAGAGATCACTTAAAACAGGGAGCCACGTTTGGGTCTAAATAACACAACGGCTGTTCTCATGCAAAGCAAAAACAGGGGAGCTCCTTACCTCAATGCACCAGGTGTCGCAAAGCATCTTCTCATGCTGGGCTGTGGGTTCTCCACGCTCCAGGGACCGGGATGCCCTACCAGGGAAAGACAGAAAAGGCATGAGAATTTGTTTTGGGGAGGGGAGAAAACTGACCCCAGAGCTCTGCAGAAAGGAGCTTTCTTGAAGGCTGAGTGATGGGAAGTTTTGCTTCTGCACATGACTCTGGCAAACCGTTCTAAGCTAGAATGTTCAGTTCACATTGAGTTCATGAAACATCGTATCCTGACCTGTTCCTAATGCATGGTTGACCACATCTACGGAACACAATAGTTATGCCCTGTTAAGTTTTGCTATATCAATCACTAGTAATAGTTTATATGCTCCTTTAAGTTTTGCTATATCAATCACTAGTTATAGTTTAATAAGGAGGTTTCCATGCCTGTCCAATTCTGTGTTCCCTTTCCCAACCTTTAATCTATTGATGATTAATGTCTGTATGCAACCCTTGCATTGTATTTGTGTTAACCAATCAGCAACAAGCACATATGTGGCAATGCTGTAATATTCAATAAAAGGGACTCCCCGAGACATGCTCGGTAGATGCCTCCCATATGACACTGCCACTCATCCGTCGTTTATTTCAACCCAACAGCTGAGATTCCTGCATTGCAGGGGGTTGGACTAGATGACCCTTGGGTCCCTTCCATCTCTACCATTCTAAGATTCTAGGACATGGCCTGCCAATGGGATCTGGGGTGGGGGACTTATCCTCGGGGCAATCAGAAGAGGGGAAAGGGTCATAGCTCAGTGGGAGAGCCTATCTGACTGCATTCAAAAGATTCCAGGTTCAATCCCTCATGGCATTGCCAGCGAGGGCTGGTAGAGACTTCCCACCAGAAACTCGGGAAAGCTGCCGTTTCCAAGTCAAGGCGGACAATACAAATGAATCAGTGGGTGTGACTCAGTATGTGAGGCAACTTCCTATGTTCCTGGAAAACAGGCCTTACCTGGAGAGCACCACAACCATGCCGTACAAATCAATTGCACTGTCAGCGATGCGTTTCAACACAAATTGTTCATCTGGGATTTGTGGGAAGGGGGAGAAGAGCAGAGAGAGAGAAAACAGATACCAGCAGTTACACCAGGAAGCCAAAGAGGGATGGATGGAGATAAGCACAGCAAAAAAACAACAACCAAGAGATCCAAGTGCCCAGGATCCTGTTCCCAATATTGGGCAGCTGGGTTCTCTTAAGAAGCCACCTCATTCCTGCTGCTCCTGCAAGGAGTCCATGAAACTAACAGCTCCTCTCCAGTTGCCTACCCTCAATATTTGATAAAAATGCTACTGAATACCAGTTTCTGGAAACCCTCAGGAGGGGAGAGAGGGCTCTTCGGCTCAGATCTTGCTTGCAGACATCCAAAAGGCATCTGGTTTGAAGTCTGCAGGCAGGACCTGGGTGCATCTGGGTGACCACTGTGAAAACAGGATGCTGGCCAAAGTGGGCCTTGGGGTCTGATCCAGCCGCTGGGCTCTCTCACCTGGCATCAGTGATCCATACGACGGTCACCTCCAGGCTTGACTACTGTAATTTGCTCTACGCGGGGCTGCCCTTGAAGCTGTCCCAGAAACTCCAGCGGGTGCAGAATGCTGCAGCGAGGCTCCTCATGAGGTCTCAGCCATGGGAGCATATTCACCCAGTGCTTTTCCAGCTGCACTGGCTCCCGGTGGAGTACAGGGTCAGATTTAAGGTGCTGGTTTTGACTTTTAAAGCCCTTCACGGCCTAGGACCCTCGTACCTACGGGACCGCCTCTCCCGGTCTGCCCCACGGAGAGCCTCAAGGTCCATAAATAGCAACACCTAGTGGTCCCGGGCCGTAAGGAAGTTAGATTAGCTTCAACCAGAGCCAGGGCCTTTTCAACACTGGCCCCGGCCTGGTGGAACACTCTGTCTCATGAGACCAGGGCCCTGCAGGATCTGATTTCTTTCCGCAGGGCCTGTAAGACAGAGTTGTTCCGCCTGGCCTTTGGCTTGGAGCCAATTTGATTCCCTCCCTCTCTTTCTTTTTTCTTTTCCTTCTCCTCCTGCGATGAGGCTACATTTTAATATTTTAATGTTTCAATATTTTAATGTTGTATTTTAATTTTGTTTTTAAGTTGCAATCATTCAACTTGTTTTTATTAGTGCTTGTAAGCCGCTCTGAGCCCGGCCTTGGCTGGGGAGGGCGGGGTATAAATAAAAAATTATTATTATTATTCTCTAGCCCCCACTGCACCCCTGCAAGTGTAGCTAAAGAATCTGGGATTGTTCATCTCTTTTGTGCTTTAATTTAATGGGATTAAAAATAGCCTTGATTACAGATTTATAGAACCCCTTTAAAAGGTATGGGAACTAGATACTGGCACACAAATTCTTTGCAGGGATTGCGGGGGGGAATGTTTCCAGTATTCTTAGGGGAAACTCCTTAAAATTACTACGCAGGTGGTATTGCACTCCTCTGTAAATGTCAAAAACGTTTTCTTCTGTATCATCTAATTGTTGGAGGGGTTGCAATAGACTTGGCAAACTTTTCATTTGTGGTGGAAACTTCAGTTGGTGCAAGATTTCTGGAATATAATTTTGACCAAAATGATAAATATCGCTAAAGAAACTATACTGCATGTTGTCCAACATTAACATTGCTGATTATTTTTGAAGAGACCAATGCAAACATATTGTAAAAAGAACTGATCTTGGCAGCACGAATAGTAATTGCAACTCAATGGAAAACTGCCCCAAATCTTACACTGGAAACTTGGCGCTACTCATTCCGGAACACAGCTATCATAAAGAAAGTTATGCATAATTTTGAGATTTTGACAAGGACTAGAACCTCCAGACCCTTTTATATGGTTTGCCATCCCTTTATGACATATAAAGCAGAACCACCATTTCCAAGACAATCTGGAACTCTGATGAACTGATAAAAGTTGATAGTCTTCACTTGGACTTTGTTATTTTAACTCATGTGCAACTGTATTCATTGTACGTGCCTATTTTACAGTTTTGCTTTCCCACCTTTTCATCTTTGCCCTGCTGTCATCATTGTTCTCTCTGGTTCACATACATTATCAAATGAAGTAATAATTTGAAAAAACTAACCGAAAGAGCACGGATGGTGCCATTTTGGCTATTAAAAGACACACACTCACCAATAATCTTTTTGCCGTGTTTCAGAATCTTCTCTTCCACAACAGCACCAAAAAGATCGATTGCCCGTACTGCCTAAAAAGAAGGAAGAGGTAGAGAATATGGCAGCCAAAAGCCATGCAGAGGAGGCGACTAAGAGTCTCCCTCCCTCTATCAGACACGCCGTCCCCCTCACAATTCCAAACACATTTGTCAAAATATAGATAAAATCCACAGGTTTTGTTTCATTTTTTAAATAAGAATACATGTCTGAATATGGCTAACTCTCTCCAGTTTAGTGCTTGGTTTATTTAGCAAGCTTTATATACTAATGGCCAAAATTGTGGGAACCTTTTGGGAAAAGTGTATTTCCAAGGTTTGATGGCTCATAACACTTTTTTTTTTAATAATACCATAAAATTATCTTCATTTGAATGTAGCCAATGAACATGAGTGTTTAGAGAGCCAATCAGGTGTTATGAGCCATCAAACCTTGGAAACAAACTTTTTCCAGAAGGCTTCCACAATTCTGGCCGCTAGTGTATACTGCTGGGGGGGAAATCTCTATGCAGTTTATAAAGTACAGTATTCATCAAAATTAGTTGCATAAGCAAGGCAAAAAGAGAAAGAGAGGTAAATTTGCATTTTGTTACATTGGTTTTGCCAATGTTGCTTCAGAACCTGTTTCAACATGCTTGCAACTTGCTCTCTAGTATTCATCCTCAAAAATCAATGTAATCCTTTGCCCCACCCAAAAAGCCCCATGTCATTTGTAAAGTGGAATGCAAATCTGTGCAATAAAAATTACAAAATAAATCCTGCTTGGCTCTCCAAAAGGCAAGTGGAGAGCTAGTGTGGCGTAGAGGTTTAGAGTGCCGGGCTAGGACCTGGGTAAGATCAGGGTTCAAATCCCCGCTCAGCCACGAACCTCACAGGTTTGCCATCCCTTTATGACATATAAAGCAGAACCCTTTATGACATATAAAGCAGACCTTGGGGGCCCAGTCACTGCCCCTCTCAGCCTAACCTACGTCACAGGGTTTCTGTGGGGTTCAAAATGAGGAGAAGGAGAACCACCCTGAGCGAACTGGAAAAGTTGGGATAACGATGCAGAGGATCCAAAAAGATCAGCTGGGTTTGACACGCCACCACTTACCCGCTCACCACTGGAGTCCAGACTTGGGTGCACTACGGACTTCAAGGTTATCCCCGTTCCTAAACCGGCTTTCCTGGAAGGGGCAGGAGGAAGACAAAGAGGGCATGATTCTCATGGCAAGAGAAGGTATAGAAAAAGGAGAGCCCTTAAAATAAAATGCTTTCAAAACGGTGCCTATCAGGAGGGGAAGGGGGAACAGAGACACACAATGGGAGGATGACTCAAACCAGGACTCCAGACAGGCTTACAAAAATCATGAATGACGTGGAAAGACGGACAGAGAGAGAGAAATGGTTCTCTTTCCTCTATCTACTGAAAACTCAAGGTTGGTTCAGCAGAAGGTAGCCGGCGTTTATAAGGACGACAAAAGGGCGGTTGGAGTTTTATTTGTTTCGGTCATGCAACACGTGACTAACTTATGGAACTCACTGCCACAAGGCGGAAGGGGCAGCTGCCACCTGTCCAGATTGCTTTGAGAGAAAATGGGGAAAAAAGAGAGGAGAGGATTAAAACAGATTCATTGGACGAGGAAGAGGAGGAGAAGGTGATGAAAGCTGAATGTGGGGCTTTCCATATTCAGAGGCAACGTAACTTCCAGTGCCCAGATAGCCAAGGCCTGAAGAATCATGGAGTTGGAAGGTCCCAAGGAATCATCTAGTTTAACCCCCTGAAAAGCAGGAATCACAGCTAAATGGGGGGGAGGAACCATTTTATGGCCACATCTCCTCATACGCATCCTCCGGGGTGGCAGGGGGAGAGAGAGATAAATGGTCAAATTAGGTCACATTACTTCGTTTCATTTACTTAAACAGCCCTGGTCAGGTCTGCTAAAAATCCCATTTGTTATATAAATTGGGGGCAAGGCATTGCTATGGAAACGGGATAGCAGGAGAAAGGTGATAGCCAGTCTGACAAAAGGGGGCGGGCAGGCTTTTCTTCCCCACTGTCCCCTGGCTGGAGGGGATGTCACTTGAGGTGTCTGCATGTGTGAAAGAGAACAACTGACTTGACAGCTTTTGCAGTCAGAGAGGGGGGGGAGCTAGCATTGGGGGGGCTGGTCACTTCCCCCAGAATCTGGTGGGAAGGCATCAAACTTGGACACCTTAGTTAAGAGTTGCAGCTTCTCTGCCTATTCTCCCCTGGATACAGTTGTAATTAAAACTGTATGCCACAAAGAATCTGCAGCTATTGTTGTCGTTTATTTAATAAAATTTACAGTGGTACCTCGGGTTAAGTACTTAATTCGTTCCGGAGGTCCGTTCTTAACCTGAAACTGTTCTTGACCTGAAGCACCACTTTAGCTAATGGGGCCTCCTGCTGCTGCCGTGCCGCCGGAGCACGATTTCTGTTCTCATCCTGAAGCAAAGTTCTTAACCTGAAGCACTATTTCTGGGTTAGCGGAGTCTGTAACCTGAAGCGTATGTAACCCGAGGTACCGCTGTATACACCGCCTGACAGCAAAAAACCCTCAAAAAGCTCTTACAGAAAAGGATTTTAAAAAATCAAGTGAGAAAAATTAACAAGAAGGGGTTGATATTGGGGGAAAGGCACTCTCTTAAGTACTTGGTCCCAAGCCATTTACGGCTTTATAAGCTAGCATTTCCACATTGAACTGGGCCTGCCAGCTTACTGGCACCCAGCCCTGTGCTTTGAAAAAATGGCAGTCCATGGTCCCAACATGTTGTCCCTTAGCAGCCCCATTCTGAGCTAGCTGCAGTCCATCTCCAAGGGCAGCCCCATGTAGAGTGCATTGGAGTAGACCAAATGGGTAGACCACTAGCCTCCAGTGGCCTCGTTCAAAGGAAACCACCCCAGGGTGTATTGCTGGAACCCCTGAAACGTATTCCCGCTCAGGGATGGGGATATGAACAACTATCGGATGGCTTTAATTCTGTCGTACGCCCACCCCTATCCCATAGCTGTCAAGCGTCCCTTATTTGGCGGGACAGTCCCTTATCCCAATGCCATGTCCCGCTGCTGTCCCTTATTGATGATGTCCCTTAAATTTCCCGGGTTTCAAAGGAAGCAGCTCCTCTCCCTCCCTCCCTGCCGGCCAGGGAGGAGGGAGGCTCCAACTGTGTTGCTTGGCTGCGTTGCTCACCCAATAAGGAGCCTGAGAAAGACTGGGGGGTGGAGCTTGCATGCCTTGTGCCAATCAAATTGGCCGCGTTGCCTGGGGACTCGCCTTTGCTCAGCGCTTCCCAGCGGAGAGGGGATGGTGGTTTTCCTTGCTGCATCCCCTTTGCTGGGTTGCTGCGCTGTGGGAACCACCGCTTGAGGCTTCGTTTGGCTGCTGGTTGACTAAAATCCCTTATTTTGGCTGCTGATCCCTTATTTTCGAGGCTGCTGGTCCCTTCTTTTCAAATCTGTAAGTTGACAGCTATGCCCTATCCCTTGGGAGATCTGTACCTGCGGACTCGCTTCCCAACCTCGCTGACGATGAGCCCAGCGTTTCCAAGAGGATTCTTGATGGCGCGCTGTAACCCGCGGAGCTCGTTCCCGGCGTTCTGGGGTAGGGACAGAGGAGAGGAGAGGTCAGCAAGAGGGAGTGATTATAGTGAAAAGTCAGGTGGGTTCTGAATTGAAGAAAATGTTCCAACTAACATTTGTAAAAAAAGCCTGAAGCATTTCTGTTAGGGATTGTAGGAAAAGACCTGCCAAGGAAATTGAAGAACATATTTATGTATGCGACAACGGCGGCCAGAGTCTTAAACAGCACAAGGATGGAAGAATGAAGAAATCCCGACAAAAGAACAGTGGCAAGAGAAATTGATGGACTAGGCGGAATTGGCGGAATTGACATACAAACTGCGTGATACGGACAATTGTGATTTCAAAGAATGGGAACCTTTTACAAAGTACTTAAAGAAATGAACTGGACTCCTTTGCAGGTTTTGAATAAACATACACAAATTTATTATGGATTATATAAAGACAGATAATTTAAGGACCTTTACAGTTTTATAATATGCAGAGAATAACATGTGCTGAAAAACCAGAGAGAGGAGCTGAGGGAAGTCTGAGTGGGGGGGCGGGAGGGTGGGTTTTCTTTTCTTTTTTCTCAGGAGGGGGAGGGGAAAATGGGGGGAGTGAATCAGGATGATATGTTTTTGATAAATTGTTATGCTGAACTTTTGAATAAAAACTATTTAAAAAAAAGAAAAAGAAAAGTCAGGTGGATTCCAGGTTTTGCGGGCTCATAAAAAGGTAGCAAAAATGTGTCTAGACTACTGTGACACGCTCTAGATAGGGCATCCCTTGGTGATGGCTCAGAAACACCACTTGGTGCAGAATAGCGAAGCCCACGAGAATACGTGTGTGAGGTCATAACAAAGCTTATTCTGCAGGATCTGGCTGCCTTTACGTTAAAGGTAAAGGTACCCCTGCCCATACGGGCCAGCCGTGTCAGACTCTAGGGTTGTGCGCCCATCTCGCTTAAGAGGCCGGGGGCCAGCGCTGTCCGGAGACACTTCCGGGTCACATTGCCAGTGTGACGAAGCTGCTCTGGCGAGCCAGCACCAGCGCAGCACACGGAAACGCCGTTTACCTTCCCGCTATAAATCGGTACCTATTTATCTACTTGCACTTAGGGGTGCTTTTGAACTGCTAGGTGGGCAGGAGCTGGGACCGAACGACGGGAGCTCACCCCGCCGCGGGGATTCAAACTGCCGACCATGCGATCGGCAAGCCCTAGGCACTGAGGTTTTACCCACAGCGCCACCTGCGTCCCATGCCTTTACGTTACCAGGCCCAATTTAAGATGCCAATGCGGATGGGAACACTCTTTAATATTTATTGCACTGATATGCCACCTTGGAGGAGACTCTTGAGAGTCCCCTGGACTGCAAGAAGATCAAACCGATCCATTCTGAAGGAAATCAGCCCTGAGTGCTCACTGGAAGGACGGATCCTGAAGCTGAGGCTCCAAGACTTTGGCCACCTCATGAGAAGAGAAGACTCCCTGGAAAAGACCCTGATGTTGGGAAAGATGGAGGGCAGAAGGAGAAGGGGATGAATGAGGACGAGATGGTGGGACAGTGTTCTCGAAGCTACTAGCATGAGTTTGACCAAACTGCGGGAGGCAGTGGAAGACAGGAGTGCCTGGTGTGCTCTGGTCCAGGGGGTCACAAAGAGGTGGCCACAACGACTCAACAACAACAACATGCCACATTCTCTCCAAGGAACTCAAGGCAGCACTGACATGCTTCCCCCACCCTCACCGAATGCCCACAACAACCCTGTGTGGTAGGCACAGTTGACAGGCAGTGACAGTGGTGGTTTTTTTGTGCCCGTGTTCATTTCCAGGAAGTGGTTCTGGTTCCAGGAACTGTGACAGCATTTGAATGTGTGGTTGCAAAAAGCAGATACAAAAACAAGCAAAAAAATTTCCGTTTTCAATTTGAAAGGCAAAATTAACCTGCGGAACTTACAGCCACAGGATGTGGCTTCCAAAGATTAAGCCACACTCATGGAGGGAGGAGAGGTCTGTGAACAGCTATTAGTCACAGCTTAAACATTAGCCAACGGGGAGCTGCAAGGTTGTATCGTAAGAAATCCACTTTAGCCGTTGGGAGCACTGCTTTTACTGTTTTGGATATGAATTTCTGTAAGTTGCTGTTTATTTTATAAAGGAGAGTGTGATCTCTCTCTTGATATCTCTCCATATTAAAAAATCAACCAAACAAAGAGAGAGAGAGAGAGAGAGAGAGAGAGAGAGAGAGAGAGAGAATGGCTGCCCTCACGCCCTGCCTGTGGGCCTGTCTCCCTGAGGCATCAGGCTGGCTCCTCTGCAAAGACGGACGCTGGAATAGGTGGGCCATATTATTATTATTATTATTCTTATTAAGAAGAAACTCAATACAAAAAGTTAATAAAGATTGGATAATTTTTAAAGAATACATTAGAAATTCTTGTTATAATGCTAACCTCCTGGCAGACGCAGAATGAATCATGAAATATAAAGAAAGTATATAATCAGAGCAGTTGGAAGAAATGGAAACTAAAATAATGATAATGAAATGCGTATAGTTTAACAAAATGTAAAATAGCACAATGAAAAGAATCGGAAGTTAGTGCCAAGGGTGTGTTTGGTGTGCTTATGTTGTAATATGTGTGTACTGGATGTGTTGCATGTACTGTCTAAGTTAAATGTTATTAATACAGTCATACCTCGGGTTACAGACGCTTCCGGTTGCATTTTTTCGGACGAGCCAAAACCAGGGAAGTGCCAGAACGGATGGTGGTCGTGCATGCGCAGAAGCGCTAAATCGCGCTTTGCACATGCACAGAAGCGCCAAATCGCAACCCGCACATGCACAGACACACCACTGCGGGTTGCGAACGCTGCGGGTTGCAAACTTGCCACCCGCACGGATCATGTTCGCAACCCGAGTGTCCACTGTAGTGTGCAAAAAACTGATCTTAATTGATGAATAATAAAGTTTATTTTTTAAAAATGTTTTTTAAAGGAATAGATGGGCCTTAGGCCTGATCCAACAGAGCTCTTCCAATGTTCTCATCAATGGCTGAAAGCCACGGGGGCAACACAGAAGCTCCCCCTCCCGCCTTAAAAACCACTGTGCTCTTTCCTCTCCTCCCCAGATTCTGAACCACAGACACACATTCCCAACAACCCACCTGAAATCCATTGAGCGCGACAAACAGCCGCAGGATGTCATTGGTTCCCTCAAAGATCCGGAACACTCTCAAGTCACGCAGCACACGTTCCACTCCGGCATCCTGCAGCAGAGAGGGAAGAGAAGGAGAGGAGGGTCAAGATGGACAGAACCAGGATTCCCCCAGCGGTTCTGACCTTAACATGGGGGGCTTTCAATCCAAGGGTGTGGATGGCCCAGAGTCCTGGGCAAGGCAAGTTTAAAATCAAGAGCCTGAGCATGAACAGGACAGATTCAGGACGAGATGAAGGAAAGAGAGCTCCTTCACGCAGTGCATAAACTCTGGAACTCCCTGCCACAAGATGGCCACCAACCTAGAGGATGGAGGAGAGGGTTGTGTACGACAGTGTTTCCCAACCTTTTTTGGGCAAAGGCACACTTGTTTCATGAAAAAAATCTCGAGGCACACCACCATTACAGCCCCGTGACGTCAGCGCGCAGCGTCACGCCGGGAGGGACATGAATTGCTAGCAAATTACATAATCACCTCCTTGAGGGCTGGCTCATCTTCTCCGAAGGCAGAACCCCATTAATTAACAGCACAGACTCACACCATAGCCAAGACGAGGGGGGAAAACCTCAGTCATGCACAGTCATGCACATGTGGGGGCTAAATGAGGACGAAGACCGGGCAGAGAGCAGGGTTCAAATCACCCCACCTGGCCAGGACAATCCCTGGGTGCTCCCTTGGGCCACTCGCCTGACCCACCTCGCAGGGCTGTTGTTGCGAGGATAACACGGGGAGAACCACGCGCGCCCCCGGGAGCTCCTTGGAGGAGAAAGCGGGCGATGAATGCAATGCACGAAATATATGAGAGGCGACCAGGTTTTGCAGGTGAGGGGCCCCCGCCAGCCTCCGCTTCCAACACCCGGCGCAACGGGTCTGCGCGGAAGAGCCCCTGCCCGCCCGGCTGCCGCCGCCGCGCTCATTCCATGGCCGGGAGAAGAGCGCTTCAAACAAAACGCCCAGCCCTCCAGGCCACGCTGGGAAACGTAGTTCGCGCACCCCGCACGGGCGCGGAGCCCAAGGGCGAGGGGACTACGGATCCCGGCAGCCCCCGCGCCGGGGACAGAGGGGGAGAGGCCGGGTGCAGGGATGGAGGGACGGGTGGGCGAGCGAGTGAGTGAGTGGCAGCCGCCAAGCCTTGGCCGAGAGCCAGGAAGGGCCTCCCCGGAGGAGGAGGGAGGCGCAGAGCGGGAGGGAGGGAGGGAACCCCAGGGGTCATCTAGTGACGGCGCCCCAATCGAAAATTTGACTTTTTTTAAAAAAAAAATCTTTCAATTTTTTAATTTTTCCCGCGGCACACCAGGCAACATCTCGCGGCACACTAGTGTGCCGCGGAACAGTGGTTGGGAAACACTGGTGTACGTTGTGCCCCCACAGTCAGAAGCAGCCATGCTTCTGAATCGCAGTAATCACACCCAGCCTTTGTCCATCTCCTATTTGGGGACAGGAAGTTGCTTTTGGCTTAATAATAATAAATAATAATAATAATAATAATTTTTAAAATTTATATCCCGCTCTCCCCAGCCGAAGCCGGGCTCAGGGCGGCTAACAACAATAAAATAGTACAACATTCTAAAATCATTTCATTAAAAAATTACTTCAAATCAAATTGATGGCAACCATTGGGCTAGAGTTCTGAGAGGATTACCAAAGGAGGGGGTCAGACTGTGCCCTGGCCAAAGGCCTGGTGGAACAGCTCCATCATGCAGGCCCTGCGGAAAGATGTCAAGTCCCGCAGGGCCCTGGTCTCTTGGGACAGAGCGTTCCACCAGTTTGGGGCCACAGCCAAAAAAGCCCTGGCTCTAGTTGAGGCCAGCCTAGCCTCTCTGTGGCCTGGGACCTCCAAGATGTTTTTGTTTGAAGACCGTAAGGTCCTCCGTGGGACATACCAGGAGAGGCGGTCCCGTAGGTACGAGGTTCCTAGGCCGTATAGGGCTTTAAAGGTTAAAACCAGCACCTTGAACCTGATCCTGTACTCCACCGGGAGCCAGTGCAGCTGGTATATCACCGGGTGACTGTGATCTTGCAGCGAGGACCCCGTAAGGAGTCTCACTGCGGCATTCTGCAGAGTCGCAAGGCCAGGTTTCATTCATTTCAGAAAGGAAAATCTGGGGCTGAGCCACAAAGGCCAAGTTTTGGAAGGATTTCAGTCCTGACAACCTGGACTGCTGGTTTTCCAAGTCTTGGGAAATTGCTTTGCTTGGGGGAAAACACACACACACAAAAACAAATTCAAGGTGTCCCAGAGCACTCGAGATTAGTTTCCTCACCACTTGGTTTAATTTTATTTCAGATACAAATACAAGTCAGGAATGTCAGGTCCCATAGGTTCATGCAAATATCTGGATTTAGCGTCGCTTAATCTTTTGTCTCCTTTTCAAAATAATTTGTAGTTCTAATTACAACCCAACCTCTCTCTCCTTTGCTTATTCCTTGATTTCTTATCAATTCAGTAAACTAAAAAGCCATGTTTTCATTTCTTCTCTTTGTATTTTCCTGTCTGTGGTTTTTTATTCATTTAATAAATTTATACAATGCTCGATTGTTTTTTTAAAAAATCAACAACCTCACAGCGGTACACAAAGAGAATAAAGCGAAAAATAGCAGTAAAGACAACTCCTTAAAAGCACTCAGAAGATTAAATCAGCAATAAAGTGAAAGCAGATTAAAACATACACCAACGTTCTACGTGTCTGGGCAGGAAAGAAAGAAAAATGTTTTTAGCAGGCGATGAAAAGAGTACAGGGAAAGGAGCCTGCCTGATGTCAACAGACAGAGAGTTCCTGTGCGTAGGTGCTGCCACGCTAAAAAAATGATTTTTTTTATGAATGAGGAAAGGGTATCATTTTGGCACCTGGAATACTGCCAGTTCCATAGATCAAAGTGGTCAAATGGGCATATAGGTGGTAATAATAATAATAATAATAATAATAATAATAATAATAATAATAATAATAATAATAATAATTATTATTTGTACCCCGCCCATCTGGCTGGGTTTCCCCAGTCACTCTGGGCAGCTTCCACAAAGACCAAAAATACACTAAGATGTCACACATTAAAAACTTCCCTGAACAGGGCTGCCTTAAGATGTCTTTTAAAGAGAAGATAGCTGCTTATTTCCTTCACATCTGGTGGGAGGGCGTTCCACAGGGCAGGCGCCACTACCGAGAAGGCCCTCTGCCTAGTTCCCTGTAACTTGGCTTCTCGCAGTGAGGGAACCACCAGAAGGCCCTCGGAGCTGGACCTCCGTGTCCGGGATGGACGATGGAGGTGGAGACGCTCCTTCAGGGATACTGGGCCTTGAGGCCGTTTAGGGCTTTCAAGGTCAGCACCAACACTTTGACAATCTTTGTTACAACAATCTTTCAGGTATTTGCTCGCCGTTATTTAAAAAAAGGGGAAAAAATCATTTTGGAAAGGAAAAGGGAATGAAAACCTGGAACTACGAACACTGTGGATGACAACTGGTGGTTTTGGACGGAGGTGGGGGGTGGAAGAGATTTCTCGCAACTGCGGTGGAAGAAGATTGGAAGAAATTTAAAGACTATCTACAGAAATATTGTAAACTTAATGAATGTTAGAATGATGTTGGATAAAAAGTTAAGTGGTTTTTAGCTATAACGATATAAGGAATATGAAAAAATGGATTATTAACAGGTAAAAATTTAAGGTTACAATATTTTAAGATTAAAGACTAGGATAAACAAAGAGGGAAAGGATTTGCTGAACTAGTAAATTGAATTGGAATACAAAAAAGGGAGGTGTGAGGAGGTCCGGGAAACAAGCAAATGAAAGATAAGTGATGGAAAGATGGAATTGTTTTTTAACTATTTTTATTTTGTATTTTTCTTTTTTCATTTTGTAAAATTTTAATAAATATCTTTAAAAAAAAAAAAAAGATTTCTCGCAACTGACTCACCTTCATGAAGCCCATTCCGCCCATGACCTGGATGCACTCGTCTGCAACAGTCCAAGCAGCCTCCTGGGCAACACAAAAGAAAAAGAGGGGGAAATGACTCTGTCTTCTCAAGCTGTAAAATGGGCACATTGAAACACATACAGCAGCCGCCGCCGCCAAGGGAGATTGTCAAAACAGAGGGGACTTTGCCCATTAAATCAGGGATGCAGCCAAACAGGTGACCGACAGACAAGGGGGCAAGGCCACCTTCCCCATTTCCCACCAGGCCCCTTTCTCACCGAGCCAAAGATTTTGCTGATGGCCGCCTCGATCTGGAAGTCGGTTGCCCCTTGGTCCATATTCGCGCTGATCATGTACGCCATGGACTGCAGGAAAGAGGAAAAGAGTCAAGGGAGTGTGACTCTGCTTCAGGGGTCAGCAAGCTTTTCCAGCAGGGGGCTGGTCCACTGTCCCTCAGACCTTGGGGGGGGGCGGACTGTATTTTTTGGGGGAGGAGGGGGAAATGAACAAATAACCCACAAATAACCCAGAGATGCATTTTAAATAAAAGCACACGTTCTACTCATGTAAAAACACCAGGCAGGCCCCACAAATACAGTGGTACCTCAGATTAAGTACTTAATTCGTTCTGGAGGTCCGTTCTTAACCTGAAACTGTTCTTAACCTGAAGCACCACTTTAGCTAATGGGGCCTCCTGCTGCTGCCGCTCCGCTGGAGCCCGATTTCTGTTCTGAAGCAAAGTTCTTAACCTGAAGCACTATTTCTGGGTTAGTGGAGTGTGTAACCTGAAGTGTATGTAACCCGAGGTACCACTGTAACCCAGAGATGCATTTTAAAGAAAAGGGCACATTTCTACTCATGTAAAAACACGCTGATTCCCAGACCATCCGCAGGCCGGATTTAGAAGGCGACTGGGCCGGATCCGGCCCCCGGGTCTTAGTTTGCCTACCCACGCTCTGCTCCATCACTGTATTGAAAAAGTCTGCGTCGTAACAGGATGCGCTGAAACTAACAGCTTCTGGGTGCGTCCTGTTAATTTCACCTTTCAGTTTACAACCCTTTGGGGAGCGCGGTTGCACTCATGCCCCCCTCCCCCCCGGTTGGCCACTGTGAGAACAGGAAACTGGGCTAGATGGGCTTTGGCCTGATCCCGCTACAGGGATCCTCCCGACGTTCTTCTCAAGTTCCTAGTCCTCATGAAGCAAAGATTTAAAGGTTCGTTGCCAGGCTGGGGGAAGGTGGCGGGTCACGACGGGCTGCAGTCGGGGGCTTTGGTGCTGAGCACTGCGCTTTTTTGGCACGCCACAGCAGTTCACGTGTCGCTGCCCCAACCTCATGTGCTAGCTCACTTTCGCCTTTGACCTCACCTCTGTCACGTACTGTAGAACTGCCATGCGAGCCAGTTTCTCCTGAATTCCCTCGAAGTTGTGGATTTTGTCTCCAAACTGGGTCCTGTTTGCTGCATAGTTCACCTTTTTGGATAATAATAATAATAATAATAATAATAATAATAATAATAATATATTTATACCCTGCCCTCCCCGGCCAAGTCCTGGCTCAGGGCACCTAACACTGAATATAAATATAGTAAAAACATTAAAAAAACAAAAAACCAGTGGATTAAAATATAAATTAGAATACAGTTTAAAATGCAGCTTAAAATGAAGCCTCATTTTAGTGGTAGCCTATAGATCAAAGCCATAAGGGGTAAAGGTAAAGGGACCCCTGACAGTTAAGTCCAGCCGCCAACGACTCTGGGGTTGCAGCGCTCATCTCGCTTTACTGGCCGATGGAGCCTGCGTACAGCTTCCGGGTCATGTGGCCAGCAGGACTAAGCCGCTTCTGGCGAACCAGAGCAGTGCACGGAAACGCCGTTTACCTTCCTGCCGGAGTGGTACCTATTTATCTACTTGCACTTTGACGTGCTTTCGAACTGCTAGGTTGGCAGGAGCAGGGACCGAGCAACGGGAGCTCACCCCGTAATGGGGATTCGAACCACCAACCTTCTGATCTTGGCAAGTCCTAGGCTCTGTGGTTTAACCCACAGTGCCACCCATGTCCCCCAGCAGATATAGGAACACGCCAAAACGTCAAGCATTAAAAAAATTGGAAAGAGGGGGGTCCTCTTCCAACTCAACAAACCAAAGGTACTATGAGACTTCACTCACCGCTTTGATGATCAGCCCCCGTATGGTGCCGGCCATGGCAGCAGCCATGCCAAACCGCCCGTTGTTCAGGATATTCATGGCCACCTTGAACCCAGAGCCGGGGGCCCCTATGACATTCTCGACAGGGACCCGGCACCCGTCAAAGTGAACCTCGGCAGTGTTGGACGCCTTGATGCCCATCTTCTTCTCCGGGGGTCCGCTGGAGGGGGGTGAGATAAATACCGTATTTTTCTGTGTGTAACACGCCCCTGTGTATAAGACGACCCCTATTTTTGGGGACTCCAAATTAATAAAATGGGGGGAGATTGGCCAGAGTTGTTAAGCTGTTTTGGGGGATGATTGGCCAGAGTTGCTGAGCTTTTTGGGGGGGAATTGCCAGTTCCCTCCTATGCACTATCCATGTATAAGACAATCCCCAATTTTAAACTTAAAAAATTAGGGGAAAAATACAGTCTTGTACAAGGAAAAATACAGTAAATACGTTTTAACCTTTAAACGCCTGTAGGAAATTTTTCTACGTCGCCAAGCACTGGCGATTAAGGAAGCACCTTTTTGTAATAAGTTAGTGGACAGTCCCCAATTTTAAATGTTCGCGTACGTATGATTTGCAGGCATTCTTGTAAATTCCCCATTTTTTTAATGCAGAAGCTCTCAAGTTCAATCTCCAGTGAGCAGAGCCAGGAAATCTCTCCTCCTGTGTGTGTGGCCTGAGATTCTGGAGAGCAGCTGAGAGCCAGAGCAGGCAATACTGGCCCGGGTGGAGGAATAAGCCAGAGCTGGAACGAGGTGGCTTGCTCCGATACTACTCACCGCGTGACGCCCCCAAAGGCCCGCTCCACTATGAAGGCCGTGATCTTGTCCTTCACTTCCCCGGTCGCCTCATCCCTTATCTTCGTTTTTGCGAAAACGGTGAATATATCCGCAAGGCCGCCATTGCTGCAAGAGATTTGCCAGTCAGGACTTGGGGGCGGGGGGGGGGGGGTTGGCACTCGTAACTGCAGGACCACAGGCAAGCCTCCAACCTCACATTTGAAGGTCTATATTAATATACCGTATTTTTTGCTCTATAGGACGCACTTTTCCCCCTCCAAAAATTAAGGGGAAATGTGTGTGCGTCCTATGGAGCGAATGCAGGCTCCTTGGCTTCAGCAATAGCAACGTGAAGCCTCCGAAGCTCCGGAGGCTTTGCGTTGCTTTTGCTGAAGCCTGGAGAGCGAGGGGGTCAGTGCGCGCTCCGGAGGCTTCGGGTTCCTTTTGCTGACTCTCCCGGCTTCAGCAGAGAGGGAGAGCTGCGCAGCACCCCTCCAGCCAAGCGGGAGGAGAAATGGAAGGGGCTCCGTTTCTCCTCCCGCTTCGCTGAAGGGACGCTGAGCAAAGAGGGGGAGAATTTTTTTTCTTGTTCTCCCCCTCTAAAACAAGGTGCATCCTATAGAGCGAAAAATACCGGGGGGGGGGGGGATTCATCCAAAAATAATAATACAGGTCAGTAAATGTGTGTGTGTGTGTGTGTGTGTGTGTTAATACACATACACACATTGAGATAGATAGATCGATAGAGATATAGATATAGATATATAGATATAAAAACACGTTCCTTTTTAACCAGGGCCTTTGGTAGACCTGATCAACATCCCATACCCTTTTAAAATGTGGCTCTTTTGGGGGGCTGTATTATTGGGTCATTGTTTTTATTTTTATTTTTCACACTGTGATCTTTTTATGTGAACCTCCCTGAGACCTCTGGGTATAGGGCGGTATATATATTCAATAAATAATAATAATAATAATAGTAGTAATATATGATCAAAAGCGGCAGTATAAAAAATATCCAAAATATACTGAGGAAGGGGGTGTTTTCCAACGAGAAGTGTGGCAGGTTCAAGGCTCTTTTTTGTGAAATCTCTGCTCCAAGGTGGGTGGCAAACACTCCCCCCACCCTGCCCCAATCCGTGCCTCCTCCTCCTCCTCCACCTACCCACCCAGGCTGGCCCCCAGCTCACCTGATCCAAATCTTGCTCCCGTTGAGAGTGTAGTAAGTGCCGCAGGGGCTGAGCTCAGCCGTGGAACGGATGGAAGCCGCATCCGAGCCGCTAGTGGGCTCCGTCAGGCAGTACGCAGCAATGGTCTCACCTAGAGGGTTTGATTTTATTTTTTAAAAAAGAGGGTCGTCCTGGGAAGACAGAGGCACCCAAAATACGCACAGCCACCTTTGCCTACAAGGTCTGAAGCGGCTGCCAAGTTTTGTGCGATATAAGCATGCCTCAACCCTCGTGATGCAAATAACACAACCCGGATGGGAAAGAAGAAAAAATCCTGACCGGGGAAGAACGACAAACCAAGTTGACGGACTATGCCGAATTGGCGAAATTAACTGGAAAGCTCAGGAACCAAGAAGACAAGAACTTTAAAAAAAGAATGGGTGAAAAATGTATATAATTTATTTAGGAGACTATTGTAAGGAGATGAAAACAATACCAGGATTTTAATCTCACTTGCAAGGTAACAAAGACTATGAACACTTTAGTTCAGTGGTTAGCAAACTTTTTTAGCAGGGGGCCGGGTCCACTGTCCCTCAGACCTTGTGGGGGGCCAGACTATATTTTGAAGGGGGGGGGGAGAACGAATTCCTATGCCCCACAAATAACCCAGAGATGCATTTTAAATAAAAGGACACATTCTACTCATGTAAAAACACACTGATTCCCGGACCGTCCGCAGGCCGGATTTAGAAGGCGATTGGGCTGGATCCGGCCCCCCAGGCCTTCGTTTGCCTATCCATGATTTAGATGGATAAAAAATGTGGATAACGGACTGATATGCAGATGTAAATATTGACACTAGGACCCATGGAAGGGAGGCAGTCATGAGATTCAGAGAGATCTCGCTGCAGTCGTACCTCGGGTTGCGAACGCTGCGGGTTGCGCGTTTTCGGGTTGCGGACTGCACCGAACCCGGAATTACGGGAATGGGTTACTTCCGGGTTTCAGCGCTCGGTTGCGAACATGCCTCCCGCAAGGATCACGTTCGAAACCAGAGGTATGACTGTACATGGATTTTGTTGAAAGTTTATTTCAAAAAATAAAAATAATAACACAACCCATCCTCGTGCACACACAAAAAACACGCAAACACCATGATGAAAGGGAATTTAGGCAGCTGAATGGCCCCACTGGGATGTTGGGCGGCAAAAGGGGGAACTTGTGAAGCGAGGAACCTTTGAATCGGGGATTCGCGCAGCAGGAGGGACCGTGTTGCAGGGTGCACCTCCCTCCCCTCAACTTCCTCCCTCAGCCCCTTATTCTGCCACTCTCCTCCCCATCGCCTGCCACTGGTTATGATGTCTCTGCCCCTCAGCTCCACACCCCCCCCAGGCCACGACCCCTTACCTGTTGCCAGTTTGGGGAGGTACTTTTCCTTCTGCTCCTTGGTGCCATAGAGGAGGATGCCCTTAAACCCGATCGACTGGTGGGCCCCCAAGGTGATGCCCACCCCTAGGTCGTGCATGCCAACGATCTCCACCATTCGCGCATACTGCGGCGGGAAGAGAGAAAAAGAAGGGGTCGTCGGCCGCGAAGCATTCAGAGTTCTGTCTCTCTCACCTCTGAGCATGGACAGAGCACATTTTTCTCGGTGGCGAGAAAGCTCAGCCTTCCTCAAAGCAGGAAAGCCACCCCCATCCCTGAAAGGACAATGTCTGAGAACATTCCATGACATCACAGCAACTTGACCAATGGCTGCACAGAGCAGCAGGAAATTCCTCTAAGCTCACAAACCTCCATGCAGTTTCCCTCCGAGTCTGGTAGCGTTTAGGGGAAGGATGGGGGGGGGCCCAGCCCTCGAGCCTCACCTGGGTGTTGCTGAGCCCCAGCCCCCCGAGCTCGACGGGGATTTGCAAGCCAAAAGCTCCGAGCTCCTTGAGGCCTTCCATGGTCTTGTCCTCCACCTTCTCCAGTGCATCATTTTTGGCCGGGTCGTTCACCTCCTGGTGGAGAGAGGGAGGAAGGGAGAATCAGATGATGAGAAAAGCATCTATTTAAACCAGGGGCCAGCAAACATTTTCAGCAGGGGGCCGGTCCACCGGCCCTCAGACCTTGTGGGGGGCCGGACTATATTTTGGGGGGAGGAAATAAACGAATTCTTATACCCCACAAATAACCCAGAGATGCATTTTAAATAAAGGGACACATTCTACTCATGTAAAACACTGATTCCCGGACCTTCCGCAGGCCGGATTTAGAAGGCGATTGGGCTGGATCCGGCCCCTGGGACTTAGTTTGCCTACCTGTGATTTAAACCCATTCTGCATTTCCCCTCACTGTTGGGAATGTGTCCCCCAAGGTTCAGGCAAAACCTGCCATTTCTCCTCAATTCCCACCCACATAATTCTGGCCCTGCCCTAATAAATTAATATTACAGTGGTGCCCCGCAAGACGAATGCCTCGCAAGACGAAAAACCCGCTAGACGAAAGGGTTTTCCGTTTTTCGATGCGCTTCGCAAGACGATTTTCCCTATGGGCTTGCTTCGCAAGACGGAAACGTCTTGCGATTTTTTTCGCTCCCAGCCCCTTTTTCTAAGCCGCTAATAGCCTTTTAGCCGCTAAGCCTTTAATAGCCGCTAAGCCGCTAAACCGCTAATAGCGCTAATCCGCTAATAGGGTTGCTTCGCAAGACGGAAAAACCGCTAGACGAAGAGACTCGCGGAACGGATTATTTTCGTCTTGCGAGGCACCACTGTATTATTATTAAGACAGATGCCATTCTGGGAGTCCTCACCTCAAAGAACCGAGAGACGGGTCCCACCAGCTCTCTCAGTGTCTGGGCCTGATCTTCATTTAGAACTGTAATAAGAGAAGGGAAGGGAAACATTAGCCCCTGCATTGAGCCATCCTCCTAGCATGCTGCTTTTCCAAACCCCAACATGCACCTTGCGGCGGAACCGATTTGGATTTCCTCGCCTCCTCCTGCTTTTTAGACTCTCCAAGCTTTTCCCATCTGAGACGGCTGGCTGCATTCTCTTAACTGCACGCCAAACCGCATTGTTTTGAATATTCGTTCGGAAGCCGCCCAGAGTGGCTGGGGAAACCCAGCCAGATGGGTGGGGTATAAATAATCAATTATTATTATTAAGGGAAAGGGGGCAACTTAGCCCTGCACACCTAGAGTTGGCCTTTCCTATCCTCAGCCAACGTTCTTAAGACTTAAAACGCAAACCCACAGACCTCCCTCTGCCTTGCCCTTTACGGAAGAAGGAAGCGAGATTAAGAAATGTGTTTGGCTAGTCCAGGGGTCAGCAAACTTTTTCAGCAGGGGGCCGGTCCACTGTCCCTCAGACCTTGTGGGGGCCGGACTATATTTTGAAATAAAAATTAAAAAATGAACGAATTCCTGTGCCCCACAAAGAAACCAGAGATGCATTTGAAATAAAAGCACACCTTCTACTCATCTAAAAACACCAGGCAGGCCCCACAAATAACCCAGAGGTGCATTTTAAATAAAAGGACATATTCTGCTCATGTAAAAACACGCTGATTCCTGGACCGTCTGCGGGCCGGATTGAGAAGGCGATTGGCCTGGATTTGGGCCTAAGTTTGCCTACCCATGGTCTCTAGGACTAGGTCAGGCACCCCCAAACTCAGCCCTCCAGATGTTTTGGGACTACAACTCCCATGATCCCTAGCTAACAGGACCAGTGGTCAGGGATGATGGGAATTGTAGTCCAAAACATCTGGAGGGCCGAAGGTTGGGGATGCCTGGACTAGGTCAAAAATGGGCCGCTGATTGAAGTGCCTAGTCCTCAGGAGAAAAGTACAGGGAATGAGGCAGACCCAGGACTCAAAATGAAGGGGGTCTTAGGCTGGATTTCTGGCAGGTGTATGAATTGTTATTATTATATTATCATTTGCATTTCCTTTCTGTATATAATTTTATTAAGTTTTCAGTTTTACAATTTAAAATACCCATTTTACATCCTTAAGATACCAATGATTTCCCTTCTTCTCTTTCCATGGTTCATTTTACATCTCACAAATCCCTGCATATTTCACAAAAACGACACCATTCACTATTCCATTATTGCACCCATCAAAACTTGTTTACACTGCTGAATTGATCTTAATGCTGCCAGCGTTTTCAGCTGTACACAATTATTTCCCATGTAGTCAATAAACGTTTTCCAGTCTTCTTTAAAAGTATCTTCTTCTTGTTCTCTCATTCTATATGTCTGCAAGCTGGGCATATTCTGTCAACTTAAGTTGCCATTCTTCTTTGGTTGGGACCTCACTCGTTTTCCATTTTTGGGCTAACAAAGGACGGGCCGCAGTAGTGGCATACATAAATAACCTTTTTTGACACCTGGGAATTTCAGTCTGAATTATCTCCAAAAGAAAGGACTCTGGGTTTGTTTGGAAAGTACCGTATTTTTCGCTCTATAACATGCAGATTTTTTCTCCTAAAAAGGAAGGGGAAATGTCTGTGCGTGTTATAGAGTGAATGTGTGGTCCCTGGAGCCAAAAAATCAAGCAAAAGTCAAACCGCGAGTCACGGAGAAGGGAAACCTGAAAAGAGGAAGCGGCAGCTTTCCTGTATTCTGCCTCAGGGTCTTACTGCCCCCCCTCCTCTGTTTCGTTGCTGTGATTGCTGAAACGGAACAAAGAGCAGGGAAAGCCCCTCCCCTCCAGGCAAGCAGAGGGGAAAGTGTCGTGCTCCGGTACTGCTGGGGGAGAGGGAGAGAGAGTGGGGGAGGGAGAGGGAGAGGGGGGGAGGGAGAGGGAGAGGGAGAGGGAGAGAGAGAGAGAGAGATGGCTGGCTTGGGGGGGAACTTTTGCCTTTCTTTCCTCCCACCCCAAATCCCTCTCCAGCATTCTTATTTAAACATTTTTTCAATTCATTATGGATCATTTCCCAATAGTCTGGACTATTATTATTATTATTATTATTATTATCTACATGCTGCCCATCTGACGAGGTTACCCAGCCACTCTGGGCAGCTTCCAACTAACTAAAACACAGTAATACATCAAACATTAAAGTCCTCCAACCCATCTCCTCTCCAAGCCCCTGGTGTTTACCTGAAGGATAAGGGAAGACTTGTTCTGTGTTGACCTGGCCCTTGAACATCCCAACAGCAAATGACTTCGACTCCTGGATGGAGAACAAGAGGAAGAGTTGCAACACTTGGGGCTTCTTAAAGTTAGAGGAAATGCGAGCGAGAGCTGGCATGACGGAATTTGATAAAATCATGCATATCCCAGAGAAAGCGACAAACATTTTCTCCCTCTCTCACAGCACTAGACGCTGAATGTTGGAGGTATTCAGGACAGATTAAAAAGGAAGCCGTTCGGTAAACAATGCATAGAAACTCTGGAACTCCCTGCCACTGGAGGGAAGGACGGCAGCCAACATGGAAGCCTTTAAAGATGGATTAGACCAACTCAGGGAGGATAAGTAGTCAGTAGGGCTCTGGAGGCAGTAATGCCATATTTTTCGCTCCATAAGACGCACCTAGTTTTTAGAGGAGGAAAACAAGAAAAAAAATGTTCTGAACCAAACAGTGGAGGTTTGGTTAATTTTTGTGGTTCATGCTGTGGCCACAGACATGTGATCTGATGGTGAATTTGGGGTGACCCAATGCAAAAATCCTGAGGATCCATGTGGATCCATGATTTGTAACCACGTTTTTGCGCCATTGCGGCCCCACGCAACAGTGGGTGTGTGATTTTTTTGGTGCAGGCTGCAGCCATGGACATGCTATGTGATCTGATGGTGAATTTGGGGTACCCCAATGCAAAATTCCTGAGGATCCATGGGCTTTTACCTCCCCACTCCCAGGCAGCCTCCTTTATCTCTAGAGTCCCTTATCTCTCTCCCGATCCCACCGATCAGCTGTTTCCTTTCAACACTCCCTTCCCTCTTGTTTGCCTTAGCGTCTTTTCCTTAGCTGGAGCAGTTTTTTGCTCCTCCTTTTCTTCTCATTTCTCTCCTTATTGCTTTGGTCTTCCTGTTTTCCCCCCTTTGCAAGTTTGCTGTCTTTACCACCACCCTCTCAGGCAGCCTCCTTTATCTCTAGCCTCCCTTATCTCTCTCCCCGAACACCCACTTCCCTCTTTCAAAAAAAAAAAAAAAAGCATGATCTGCTTTTCACCCTTGGGCAATTCGGCTCCAGGGACCACACATTCGCTCCGTAAGACGCACAGACATTTCCCCTTACTTTTTCGGAAGAAAAAAGTGCGTCTTATGGAGCGAAAAATACGGTACTTCTCAATATTGGTCGCTGGGATGAGAAAATGGCACAGGCTGTGAGGCAGGACAAAAGAGAAACAACCTCCACCCAGTGGGAGCTGAAGACAACTGATGGAATACAGTTGGGGAATGTTGTTGTTGTTGTTGTGTCTTTTCGTTGTGTCCGACTCTTTGTGACCCCCCCCCCGGACCAGAGCACGCCAGGCACTCCTGTCTTCCACTGCCTCCCCCAGTTTGGTCAAACTCATGCTGGTCACTTCGAGAACACTGTCCCACCATCTCGTCCTCCGTCGTCCCCTTCTCCTTGTGCCCTCCATCTTTCCCAACATCAGGGTCTTTTCCAGGGAGTCTTCTCTTCTCATGAGGTGGCCAAAGTCTTGGAGCCTCAGCTTCAGGATCTGTCCTTCCAGTGAGTGCTCAGGGCTGATTTCCTTCAGAATGGAGAGGTTGGATCTTCTTGCAGTCCACGGGACTCTCCAGAGTCTCCTCCAGCACCAGAATTCAAAAGCATCCATTCTTCGGCGATCAGCCTTCTTGATGGTCCAGCTCTCAATTCCATACATCACTACTGGGAAAACCACAGCTTTTACTATACGGACCTTTGTTGGCAAGGTGATGTCTCTGCTTTTTAAGATGCTGTCTAGGTTTGTCATTGCTTTTCTCCCAAGGAGCAGGCGTCTTTTAATTTCGGGACTGCTGTTACCATGTGCAGTAATCATGGAGCCCAAGAAAGTAAAATCTCTCACTGCCTCCATTTCTTCCCCTTCTATTTGCCAGGAGGTGATGGGACCAGTGGCCATGATCTTCATTTTTAATATTTCACACCAAAAGCTGCATCTGCTTTTGTATATGGATTAATGTGAAAATGAGGGTGAATTGTTGGTCTTTGCGAGCTTCCCCTAGGGCCCGGGGGCTAGCAAGCTAGGATTTTCTTTTCTACGTTGCTTTTCTACGGAAAACTCGTATTTGGACTATCAGCTCGTTAAAAGATCTGAAAGACTGCTGCGCCTAACTCAAACGAAAGAGAGCCCAGAGCTTGAAGATAAAACTGTGGAATGAAGGGAGGGCAAGCTGAAAATCAACCAATGGATAACAAGACGGAATAAAAAGGCCTCTTGCAGGTTAATAGACATACGGACTTGATAAATATGATAGAAAGTCATACACCAGCGATTGCAATGATAAGACAAAGGTTAAGAGCGGAATTATGAAACTGGAAAAAACAAGAGAAGTGAAAGAAACTTTCTCCTGACAGCCAGAACATGGGAAGTCCCATTAAATTATTTAATTTGGAATATATAACTGGCTTTATTTTTTTGTATTATGATTATGCACGGCTGACGAAGCCCGGCAAGGCAAAACAAAGTATTATTCCGGGAATCCTTGTCACGTTTAAGTTCTTTTGACTGACACTGGCATACAGCAACTATATTTTGCAAAGGCACATGTTAAGATCTTTCATATCCTTGTCTAATACCTGCATACAGCAGCTGCAAGCAACAAGCGTACTTTGCAAAGGCAGTTGTGGAACATTACAAAGAAAAGTTCCATCTTTTGCAAGTACTGCTCCTTAAAGTTGTTACGTTTGACACTTGTATGCGCTAAGACATACGTGGAACACAAAAAGCTTCCATTTGGACAATTACGTATATAAGAACTGATCTATTTGTATTTCCTGTTCTAAATGTTGGTCCTTAATTGCTTCTACTCAATTAGATAATGTGAAAAGAGCTGTGTTTATATGATGTATAAAGAATTTATATAGTTAAACACAGCCAGTTACGTTGTGGGTATATTTGCATTATGATGTGGCAGGATTTGATTTGATCTGTTACCAATTGGAATGTTATTAATAAAAAATATGTATATATATAAAAATATCGGTCGCTGGAAGCCACAGGAGGAGGGAAAAGGGCTCTTGCGATCGGATCCTGCACGTGGTTGGCCACTGTGAGCACAGGATCCTGGGCTGGCTGGGCCATGGGCTTGATCCAGGAGGTTTTCCTCTCATTCTTAGGAATCTGGCGGGAAAGGCACCTGCGTGGCCAGCATAAGGTCTCGGGTTCAAATCCTGCCACCTCCGTGAAGGGCTTGGAAGGAGAAATCAGAGACTCTGGAGAACCAGCCAGCCAGCCTGGACCACAGGGCCTCACTCTGCGTAACAAAAACAGCCCATGTCGGTTCAGATGCTCCTGCGGTAGCTCACAACCGACAGCCGCATGCAGACCGACATAAATTTAAACCACGTCTCTCTCTGCAAAGGAGAATAAAGGCAGGGGAGATATTAATACCAGCCAACTTTTGCCGGTGCAGAAACGCCCACGCGCGTACGTTTTGGAATGATACCTGCCCTATAATTAGCTGCCAGGGCTGTCGCGCTCACACCCTTATCAGCCCATTTAATTATATTTGTTAATTTACATTTAGCTATATTTTTGGAAAACGGCTCCTCCGCTGTCGGAGCCAAGGTTACTTTCGACGCCAGTCGCTGGAAACCACAGGAGGGGAGAGGGTCTTGTGTTCGGATCCTGCTCGGGGGTTTCTGATAATGTGCGTCAGGGTGGCCCCGGCGAGAACAGGGTGCCGGCCTAGCTGGGTCTCTGGCCTGATCCGGCACGGCAATCCTTACATTCTTAAGGTATTCCAAAGACAGGACATGAAGAAAGGCCTTTGGCCTTGGATACCACCTGCCCAACCGTGTATGGTGGCGGAGACCAGGAAAAAGGCCTCTCATGGTGAATAGGGTGGGGGGTTTGCAGGAGAATTATCACCATATATTAAATTTGCACACTGCCCTATGCCCATAGATCTCAGGGAAACACAACACAAAATTACAATTTATTTTAAAAAATATTAAAAATAAGAACAAAGAGAATCCAAATATATTTTAACCTGAATTTTAATTCGGTTTATTTTTTTATTTGTGTTTTTAATTGTAATTTTACTGGGGTTAGCCACCCTGAGCCCGGCTCTGGCCAGGGAGGGCGGGGTATAAATAAAAATTTATTATGATTATGATTATTAACCCCCCTCGCACGGCACATTAAAAAGGGCAGTTAATTTAATTTAAAAGTCAGCCTTTCAACCAGTTACGTCCCAAAACGTTTGGGGGCCCTTGCTCAGGCAGCCCTCTGCCCCACCGCCCTCCAAGCACAGAGAACGAATGTTTGTGAATACCCCGTAACATCCTGGAAGCTCAAGCCAGTGGGGAGGTCAGGGGTTTGCACAGCAATAAACGACTCCCGATTTTTCAGGACAGCATTTTCCCTCAAAATTGGGGTGGCAGATTGGCGGAAATGACTGGCAGAATCCGAGACCAGGGAGAAGAGTCGGTGGAAGAAGACTGGAAAAAGTTTAAAGGCTATTTACAGAAATATTGTAAAATTAATGAATGTTAGAAGAATGTTGGAATGAAGTGATATGGCTTTAGTAGAAAGGTTATAAGGAATTAGGTACAAATAGATTAACAGAGTATTAAAGGAAAAATAAGGTTAAAATCTGTTAAGATAATTAGAGGTTAGAAAACAGGGGAAGATGGAAAGGAATTGCTGAAATAATTAATAGATGTGGAGTACAAAAAGGGAGGTGCGAGGAGGTCGTGGAAATATGTGAAAGAAAGATAAGATATGGAAACTTTTTTCCTTCTTTTTTCTTTTTTTTGATGTGTTTTTTAAATTGTTTTTGTTTTGTCTTGTTAGTTTAATGTTTTAGTGTTGCTTTGTATTGTAATGTATTGGGTTTTTTTTAATCTCTTTTCTTGTTTAAATTGTTGTAAAAGTAATAAATATTATTAAAAAACAAAAAAACAAAATTGGGGTGGCAGGTCAGAGAACCAGGAGACTACCTAAGTCCCTGTCTTTGTTTTTCCAAAAATTCAATTCAATCTGCTGAATATCTTCCCCACCTTCAATTCCCTGTCGTCGTCCCCGCCCCAAAATAGGAAAAAAGCACCTACTGCAATTAAAGGTTTCTTTTCCGGTATCGCTTGGGAAACTGCGTTGGACTTCGCACTCGATTTATCCAGCACGGCCTGCAAAAAGTGACAAGAATGTTATTTGGTGTTAAAGGCTTTCCGGCTAGAGAAATTATATATAAAGCTTTGTTGACTTATCAACCTGCTGACCAGTCAACAGAAGGACCTCGGCTGAGAATCAAAGCAGAATGGGATGCTTTTAAAAAATTAGATGATGAAATATGTTTCCAATGATTACTCTTGGTTGAGCATAGACTAAATTCCACAGTTAAGAGAATGGTCTTCCGTAGAACAAGAACGGACGCAGAAATTTTTATTTTTTTTTAAATATGTTTATTAAAGTTTTCAAAAGAAAAAAGAAAAGTTTACATAAGAAAAAAAGAAAAAAGAAACAAAAACATATATGATACATTTCCAAAAAAAAAAAAAAAGGAAATACGTTCATTATACAACCATCATATCCGTTTTTTGACTTCCTTCAGCGTCACTGACGATCGATCGTAGTAATCCTTTTAATACACATTTCATCTATCTTCCATATTGCCACTTATCCCTCCCTTCCTCATCCTCTCTACTAAGCAATATTTATTGGTGCTTTACAAAGCCTCTTTAAATCCCGCTAGCGTTGTTTTAACACCATATTTATTTTCCAGATAACACACAAATTTCTCCCAATCCTTTATAAATTTTTGATCTTTAATATATCTAATTTTCCCTGTTAATTTGTCCAATTCGGCGTATTCTATTAATTTAGCTCTCCACTCCTCTACCGTTGGGACTTCCTCCTGTTTCCACTTCTGAGCTAGCACAATTCTGGCAGCTGTCACCGCATATTGAAAAAGTTTATGGTCCCTTCTTCTCACATCCTTCCCAACAATACCTAATAAAAATGCTTCTGGTTTTTTCACAAAGGTGTACTTCAACATCCTTTTCAGCTCGTTATAAATCTCTTCCCAGAAGCATTTAATTTTTTTACACTCCCACCATTGGTGGAAGAAGGTCCCTTCTTTATTTTTACATTTCCAACATTTGTTGTCCACCTTATACATCTTTGCTAATTTCGTAGGTGACAGATACCATCTGTAGAGCATTTTCATCATGTTTTCCCTCAGTAACGTGCAAGCTGTGAATTTTATATTCTCTTTCCAGAGCCTTTCCCAGTCCTCTAATTGAACATTATAACCAAAATCCCTTGCCCATTGAACCATCACCGCCTTCACCTCCTCATCCTTCGTGTGCCATTCCAACAATATTTTGTACATTCTTGACAGATTTTTATACTCATTATTTATTATCTCTTTTTGAAAGATTGATTCTTTCACTACATAATTCCTTTCCTTCAACTCCTTTTTAAACATTTCATTTATCTGAAAGTAGTGTAACCAATCATAGGTTAAGGCCTTAATTTGGTCGTAGGGTTTTAGTTTCCACTTCCCTCCTTCATTACAAACCATTTCTCCATAATTTCCCCACTTCTCTCTCATATTTACTTTCTTTATACCCATCATCTCTAGCGGGGATAACCAATGGGGAATTTTTGGTTCTAGTATATTTTTGTATCTTTTCCAGACCTCTAATAAAGCACCTTTGAAAATATGATTTGTAAAGCCTTTGTCTACCCTCTTCTTATCGTTCCATAGGTACGCATGCCACCCAACTTTGTTGTTGAAACCTTCAATATCTAATAATTCCGTGTTTTCCAGCTTTACCCATTCTTTTATCCAACACAGGCATGCTGCCTCGTAATAGAGTCTCATGTCTGGAAGGGCGAAGCCACCTCTTTCTTTTAAATCCGTTAATAGCTTAAATTTAATTCTAGGCTTCTTCCCTTCCCAGACATATCTCGAAATTGCTCTTTGCCACTCTTTGAAAATTTTGGTACCTTTGATTATGGGTATAGTTTGGAATAGGAATAACAGTTTGGGAAGTATCATCATTTTTACCATCGATATTCTTCCCCAGAATGATAACTTCATTGTAGCCCAGATCTCTAAATCTCTTTTCACACCTTTCCATACCGGGATATAATTGTGTTGGTATAAATCTATGTTCTTATCGGAAAGCCAAATTCCTAAGTACTTGATCTTCTTTACAACTTCAATCTCCGTTCTTTGTTGTAATAATTCAATTTTATCTCGGTCCATATTTTTTACTATCATTTTAGTCTTCTTCTTATTCAGTCTGAATCCTGCCAACTCTCCAAATTGTTCCATCTCATTTAAAATTTCTTTTATGCTATCTGTAGGTTCTTCCACAGTCAATACCACGTCGTCGGCGAAGGCCTTACTTTTGTATTCGTTTACCCCCAACATAATCCCTTTGATTTGCTTATTTTGCCTTATTGCATTTAATAGAACTTCTAGAACCACAATAAATAATAATGGCGAGAGTGGACATCCCTGCCTTGTGCCTTTACTTATTTTTATATCTTCTGTGATGGTGTTGTTTACTATCAGTCTTGCTTTCTGGTCTGTATAGATTGCTTCGATACCGTTATAGAATTCTTGACCCACTTCCATAAACTTCAGATTTTTTAACATAAATTCCCAAATGACGTTATCGAAAGCTTTTTCTGCATCCACAAATATTAAGGATGCTGGTTTGTCACATCTATCGGACAGATATTCTATGACGTTAACTATATTTCTTATATTATTTTTTATTTGTCTGCCCGGCAGGAAACCTTGTTGGTCTTTGTGTATGATCTTTATCAATATCTTCTTTAACCTCTTTGCAAGGATTCCCGCGAAGATCTTATAGTCTGTATTTAGTAACGAGATGGGTCTATAGTTCTTAACTTGTGTTAAATCCGAATCTTGTTTTGGTATTATTGTAATAAAGCTTCTTTCCATGTTCCTGGGATGTCCTTTTCTATTAAGATGTTATTCATTACTTTAATCAATGGGACCATCAGGGAATCCTTCATTTCTTTGTAATAGCTCGAAGTAAATCCGTCTGGCCCCGGTGCTTTCCCTCTCTTTAACTCTTTTATGGCTTCTTCTACCTCTTCTTTACCTATTGGGGCATTCAGCTGTTCTTTTTCCTCTGTCGGGATCTTCCTCATCATTTTATCTTTCAAATATCTCTCTATTTTCTTCTTGTTGTTCCTTTCTTTATTCCTATACAGTTGTTTGTAATAGTCCACAAAAGCTCTTCTGATTGCCTTCGGTTCTGTTGTTTCTTCTCCATTGAACTCAATTTTGCTAATTGTATTTTGTTCTTTTCTTTTCTTAACTTGCCAGGCGAGCCATTTTCCTGGTTTATTAGCGAACTCGAAGTTTTTTTGTCTTAATCTCTTAATGTTCCATTCAACTTCTTTGTTTGTTGTCATCGCAAATTGGGTTTGAAGAATCTTTATTTCCTGTCTTATCTTTTCATTATTGGGTTTTTTAATCAATTTTTGTTCGTAATCCATAATCTGTCTAAGAATCTCCTTAGTCCATTTCTCTCTATTATTTCTTTTCCATACGTTTTGCTGGATAAGGAGGCCCCGCATCACCGCCTTACTTGCATCCCACACCACACTAGTCCTTGTCCCTTTGTCCATATTGTTCCTAAAGAATTCTGTCAGATTTTTTTGTAATTTTTCCACGAACTTTTGGTCATCCCATAAATTATCATTCAATCTCCACCTGAAGGTTCGCTCTTCCAAACCTTTAAGTTCCATTTCTATTGGGTTGTGGTCTGAAAGCACCTTCGCCTGTATTTCAATTTTTTTAATTCTTAGGGTTAACTCATTTGAGACCCATATTTGATCTATTCTTGAAAACGATTGATTCGGTTCTGAGTGGTAGGTGAACTGCTTCTCCAATGGATTCCTGAGCCTCCAGATGTCAACCAAATTATAGTTCTTCATCATCGTAAAAAAGGTTTTAGGTAGTTTCCCTTCTTTGTTCTTAGTTTTCCTTAATCTGTCCAGTTCTAGTGAGACCACGCCGTTCATGTCTCCCATTACTATAATTTTCTGGTCCATGTATTCAAATAATTTTTCTTCAAGCGATCTAAAGAATTCTGTCTTATTCCCGTTTGGTGCATATATCCCAACAATTATCATTTTTCCCCCTTGCCAAATTATTTGGGCCGCAATCATTCTCCCTTCTTCATCCTTAAATAGTTGGTGAGATTCAAAAAAAAAAAAAAAAAAAAATCAAAAGCGGACGCAGAAATTTTAAGATATGAGAAATTGGGAAACGCATAGAAGGGAGTCATTAACAAATCAGGGAATAAAACCAGAGATTAGGCGTAGATAAGAAAATAAGAGTAGCAAGGAGAAATTGATAAGGTGAAGATAAAAGGACTTCTTACTGGAAATATATGAGTGTTACGCTTCTGTTTTGAGTGTTACACTGAGGTCTGCCTGTTTTTGCTATTTACTTTGAGTTTTTATTTTTGCAGCTCTTTTTTGTTCTGTTTTTGTGGCTGTGTGGAACCCAGTTCAGCTACTGATCGATCGTGTGACTGCAGTACATTGTTTATTGCTTTCATTTTATGGATCAATGGGTTAGCTAGTAAAATTCATGCTAAACTACTGTTTTAGGGGTTGTTTTTAAAAGTCTGGAACGGATTAATCCGTCCCGCATTACTTTCTATGGGAAAGCGCGCCTTGGTTTTGGAACAGACTTCCGGAACGGATTAAGTTTGAGAACCAAGGTACCACTGTAATGCAAAACAGATTAATCTGCAGGACATTTGCCGCTTTGTTCCAGGAATTCCAACGCGGCTGGGATGAGCAATCCTCCTTTTGCAGCCACATCACCAGGGCGCCTGGGGCTCAGCTGGTGACAGCTCACCTTTCCCCTACATACTTCCCAAATCGGGGATTAAATAACCTGACCTTTCCCCTAGAAAATGCCGCATGGAAGTCAGGGAGGGAAGGATATCCAGGATAACACCTCGATTTGCAGAACTGGCAGGGCTGCAGGTGACACACAATCCCTGCTCCGCATCCTCTGGTTATCTCCCGCTTGGACTACTGCAATGCGCTCCACGTGGGGCTACCTTTGAAGGTGACCCGGAAACTACAACTAATGCAGAATGTGGCAGCCAGACTGGTGACTGGGAGCGGCCGCCGAGACCACATAACACCGGTCTGGAAAGAGCTACATTGGCTCCCAGTATGTTTCTGAGCACAATTCAAAGTGTTGGTGCTGACCTTGAAAGCCCTAAACGGCCTCAAAGGCCCAGTAGACCTGAAGGAGCGTCTCCACCCCCATCGTTCAGCCTGGACACTGAGGTCCCGCTCCGAGGGCCTTCTGGCGGTTCCCTCACTGCGAGAAGTGAGGTTGCAGGGAACCAGGCAGAGGGCCTTGAACGCCCCCCACCAGATGTCAAGGAGATAAACAACTACCAGACTTTTAGAAGACATCTGAAGGCAGCCCTCTTTAGGGAAGCTTTTAATGTTTGATGTATTACTGTATTTTAATATTTTGTTGGAAGCCACCCAGAGTGGCTGGGGAAGCCCAGCCAGATGGGCAGGGTATAAATAATAAATTATTATTGTTATTATTATTATTTGTACGAAATCAGCCTTTTAAGCATAGCAGCAGCTAAACTTTGGAACTCCCTGCCTATAGACGCCAGGCAGGGACCTTTTTTGTGTTCTTTTCCAGGCAAATTATAGACAGGCAGGCAGGCAGATGATAGATGATAGATAGATAGATAGATAGATAGATGAAAGTTTACTTTCTCTGCCCCCCTTTTTCTCCCCACTTCTATTTTCCCCCAAACCCCTAACAGTAATGTTTCACATTCAATGTAAGAAGGACTCTATGAACTGAGAACAGATGCTTTATGTACTATTGCTACCAAGAAAATCTTCTAATAAAGCAATTACCAAAAAAACATTTTTGTTTAGGCAAGCCTACCCAGGTATATGGAATGTTTGCACGTGTTTAAAAAAAATGATGCTAATTGCTGACCTTAATTGTTATCCGATTGCTTTAAACAGCCGTTTTAAAGCGTTTTTTATTGATAATTTCACTGTTCCGAAATCTTCATAAACCGCTTTTTGTTCTACAAACAAGCAGCGTATTTACAAGACAAAATAATACGTCTGGAAGTGACAAGTTACAAATCCATCAGGTTTGAGGTGGTGGAAATGTGTGGCTAGATTTCACCATGGTGGGGTTGCGGCTGTCTCTGGGGTGGAGCGTTTATAACAAAAAAGGGGGTGTTCAAAAGGCATTTTTTTGTGGGGTGGGCAGTTAATAGATGCCAGTTCCAGACATTTGGGTGAGAAAGGGTTGCCTTTTAGAGCAACCACATACTAAGGACAGACTCTGTCTTCAAAGCACTTCAACTGGGGAAATAAAACCTTTGGCCTCCCTGTCATGGGAACCTGAAAAGGATTTGGGGCACCAGGCGTTCAGAATTTATATGTATTCTTTTTCCGGGGTGGAGAGGAGAAGATGAAAGGAATAAGCGAGGCCAATAGCTGCTGGGGTTCTCAATGAGCCTAACGGGGCTAGGATAAAATCCGCCTGACTTTCCAAAAGCTGCTTTTGGTTTTTAAACCCACCATGCTCCTAGGCCTCATGGAGGAAGGGACAACTTAACCTGACTCACTCCCCCAGAAAGGGTGTTGCAAGCATAAATGAAATTAATGAGTGCGCAATAGGCGTTTGTCAAAATTAGGAAGCCACGTGTCTCGGATAACGATAGAGGAAGGGCTAAAAAGGTTCACAGACCTGTTTTGCCAGCACCCGAACCAACAACCGTCCCACGCCACACGACCCACAAATCCTTACCTTTTTTAACCTCCCCCCTAAAAAACAAAAACAAAACCCCCTTCGTACAACCATCAAACTGCAAAAGCCCCTGGGCCCGATCCACCAGAATAAGGGATTCCCATTAAAATAAAGAGGCGTAACTAGAAATAGACCCTGCCCCCCCAGCACCCCCAAAATACCTCCGCCGTCTGCGTAGCATAGAGTCTCCTTCCATTTGGATGAGGAGGAGGGTACGTCAAAGCCGGGAGCCCACCAGACCTGGGAAGGGGGGAAAAAGCGAGGGGTAATTTAGGAGGAGAGGGTGGTTTAGTGAAATGGCTCCTGACTTTACCTGGCCAGGTAAAGTGGCTGTGGTTGTAAATACGTATATTTTTTTAGAAACAGCCAAGTTTCTAAAGGCTTTATGTGGTTGTGGGGCAGGGGTCCCCAATTTTGTTTTTAGGGCCCCCAACCCCTGGTTTCCTTAAACCCATCCACAGTACCCCCACCTCACTGCCCTATAGAAAGAATTATTCAGAAGAGCAGCCCGCAGGACCGACTTAGGAAGGTAATAACACAGTAAAGTTCGAAGCAGCGACAAATAATTGTATGTTTGTTCAAAGTCCAGTTAAGACCCTTCCGTTTAATTCCTTCCAGTTCAAAGTCAGTGCTTTTTTTTCTGGGGGGGTACACATACCTCTAAAAAATTTGTGAATCTTTGGTCCATATACTGTACTTACTTCCCCTGATCTGAACTATAAAATTGAGATTTTCTTGAGTCAAAATGAGAGTACCCCCAGAAAAATCCCCCCCAAACATTTTTTAAGGGAAAAAAGCACAGCTGTCTCCATTCGCCCCCCAACAGGTAACCCCACCATCCCGTCTCCCCAAAATTATCCACTTATGGGGAGGGTCCTGGAACCAGACACTCAATATCTCCCCACCACCCTCTGCACCCCTAAACCCCTTTCCCACCAGCCCCCACCCCTTCCAAAGCGCCCCACACTCAGATCCCCCCCCAAAAAAACCACCACCCCACACCCAGCAAAAGGCACTTTTCCTGCCCCCTCTCCAGGACCATGGTCCAGACTCACCTTGGGGGGCTGCTCAGCCGCAGGAGGCTCCAGCAGAACTTGGGGGGCAGCCTCAAAGTCTGCATGGCTGGGGGGTGTCTATGGGACCTGCCTTCCTCTGCCTCGGAGGTGCGAGCAAGTTTCTCTTTCCCTGCTTCTCCCTCTTGCTCCTCCCCTCCCCTTATGCAAGGTCATCAGCTCAATATGTGTGTGTGTGGGGGGAATAGGGCTAATTACTTCCTGCCCCACCCATGGCCCCAGGGCATGATGGGAGTTGTAGTTTTCTTCCCCCATGGAGACGTGGCTTTCCTTTCCAGGCCAGCAGAGGAAGAAAGCATGGGGGCGTTTTGGAGAGAGTTGGCCTGCCCTGAGCATATGCAAAGTGCATTTCTTGCCCCTGCTAATCTAGGGCTTTTGCACCCCTGGGTGCATTTATTCCTTTACTGCAGTGCTTCCCCCCCCCACCCAAAAAAGAATCATTTTCCTAATCATATTGAAATTATGGCCCTCAATGAGGCCGAACTTAGATTCACAAAATGTTTAGGGGGGGTGCGTACCCCCCAGAAAAAAGCACTGCTTTATTGTATTAATGCCCCACTGAAATAAACAATTTAAGGTCGTGTGTGTGTGTGTGTGTGTGTGTTATATGTATGTATGTATGTGTGTGTATATACATACACACACTGTATATAAAAATGTTCATAACTGAATATATAAACCATATGTCTGAAACCCTACAGAAAAAAGTCCTGAAACCATTTTGTCCCTCCCAAATTGACCTCAAATATTTCTCTGCAAGGTCGAAGGAAAATGGAAAATCCTCCCCATTGTCTTTTTGTTCACAAATCCTGTCTTAAGGGTATGTCTGTGTATGAATAGGGTGAGCCTCTGACCTGGCTCAGGAACTAAGTATTTATCGTTAAGACTGGCCAGGCTCCCCAGGGTATCCAATCAAGTGACCATTAACAGGTAACCTGCCAGACAGGAAGTAAACAAGGCACTCAGATTTCTGCTGTAGACCGCCCTTTCTGTGATGTATGTATGATGTTTCTGGGAGTGGTCTTGGACTCCAGGGCGGGCAATTTAAAATGTCTATATAAGGGTGGGCACACCTTGGTTCTGGGTCCTCCTCCTCCTTCCTGCGTGTGAAGGGAGCACCTTGTTGCAACAGATCAATAAAGATCAGGCTTACAAGCTGCTTTGCTTCTCATATTCTCCGGTTGGCCTCTGTTATTTTCTCCGACCGATGGAGAACCTGCAAAGGACTATATAAGAGCTCTTGTGTCCCCCATAAGGGAAGAAGGGCAGATTTTTGTTTATTACACCACCTTTTCTCTTTCAGGGTGATCAAGGTGGCATGCATGGTTCTCTGCCCTGCTAATTTTACACTCCACAACAACCCTGCATGGTAGGTTAGGCTGAGACAAGCGGCGACTGGCCGACAGTCAACCAGTCAGGATTTGAAAGCTGGTCTTCCAGGACCTAGTCCGACACTCTAACCCAGGGGTCTGCAACCTTTAAGACAAAAAGAGCCACTTGGACCCGTTTCCAAAGGGGGGAAAAACTGGGAGCCGCAAAACCATTGCGACATTTAAAACAAATATATCTCCGGAGCCGCGATCTGACAGCGGGCGGGAAGGTGACGTCGGGACGGTGCATGGCTAACGCACGCACCGCCCCCATGCAACGTCACAGCCAGTACAGCGCCCGCCACAGTGGGGAGTGTTGGGGCGCACAATGCGCCTCCTCCCCTCGCTAGTATCCACCCTGGAGCCGCGGCAAAGGTGTAAAAGAGCCACATGCGGCTCCAGAGCCGCGGGTTGCAGACCCCTGCTCTAACCAATGCGCCATACTGGTTAAAGCTGTAGCCAGGGGTGCATCTGTCCATGTGCAGAGGGCAACAGGGGTCTCCCTGCCAGGCTGCCCAGTTTCCGCCCTCCCCAACAACCAAGCAAGGGGATTCGGGCGCAAGGGGTTTCTAGGCCACAGAAAGTGAGATCCACAGCCCAGTCTGAAGAATAATGTTGGGGTCCCAAGGCAGGGAAGAGGAGGCAGAATTTAAACAAGGGCGTTCTCGCTTCACTTGGCGTGCGCCCTTTCTGGCTCAGATCCTGGTTTGTCTTAGCCGGATTCAGCCATAAACTATGGTGCCACTGAGCCCGTGCAAAGTGCCCACTGCCTATCAACCTGCAAGGGGTGGCCTGCTTCTTCCAGGCAGCTGTTGGGAGGAAACTAGTTCGCATCAGCTCCAACTGACATGTCCAATAGCCAGGGATGATGGGAATTGTAGTCTAGCGATACCTGTAGGGCCAGATTATGCCTTGCGTGACTCTTCTAATTTAACCTCAAGTTTATCTTGTGGGACAAATGGAGGGGGAGGCAAACTCTGTATGACACCCCCCCCCCATATCATGGGGCAATCTTTGCTTTTCTCTAGGTCTGTAGCCGCCTCCGTTCTGCTGCCAGCAAAACATCCCATTTGAAATTGTTCCATTATTTACCTTGCCTTGTGCTGTTAGAAAGTATCTTCTCCCACTCCCTGCTGCCAACCTTGCTTGGAATATATTTAAAGAGGGCACAGATGCACTATTTGCATGCAGAATTTGGTAGGAATTGACTGGAGCGTGAAGGGACCCACCTATTCCGCAGCAGGAACACTGGAGGTTCTGTTACTTTCCAGTCGGCAGGGGAAGGAAAAAACCATTCCCACGCAGCGTAAATTTAATCCATAGCCACCCTGGACTCCCCTCCCCCAAACTTTCCTTTTTTTCCTTTGTAAGGTGGGCCAACTGCTGACCCTCCAGTTTGACCTTGAGCATGGGTAGGCAAACTAAGGCCCGGATCTGGCCCAATTGGTTTCTAAATCCGGCCCGCGGATGGTCTGGGAATCAGCATGTTTTTACGAGCTGAATGTGTGCTTTTATTTAAAATGCATCTCTGGGTTATTTGTGGGGCCTGGCTGGTGTTTTTACATGAATTGAATGTGTGCTTTTATTTTAAAATGCATCTCTGGGTTATTATTTATATATATTTATATATATATTTCTGGCCCCCCACAAGGTCTGAGAGACAGTGGACTGGCCCCCTGCTGAAAAAGTTTGCTGACCCCTGACCTTGAGTATCGAAGACCGTTTTTTTGCCAAAGAACTGCAAGATGTCTGAAGCACTAATTCCGAATCTTGCCATTTGGTTTACCCCTCCCCCCCCAAAAAAAACCTCTCTGAGCATCACGTAAACAAAAAGCACGAGTTGACACACTTTGGTTTTATTAGGTTGTTTTTTTAATTATTACTGAATGGTGTGTTTTTTTTGTACACAAAAGAGCTAAAAAATAAATATGTTATTACAAAATAGTTATCTGCTACCGATCACACGCACGCACACACGCACCCAGGCCCCAGAGAGAGGGGAGGGCTAAATACTGGAGAGGGGCCCCAATCCCTAGGGGGGTGTCTCCTGCTGCAACCTAGAGACAAAGACTCGCAGGAACGTGCAGGCTGGAAGGAAGTAGCACCATTGAAGAGGAAGTTCGTACCCTGTTTGGGGAGGGAGGCAAGTCGGGGGGGGGCATTGAATCCCTCTCCTCCTCCCTTCCACTTTTTCCCTTCTTCCCCGGATGAGACTCTGCAGGATTTGGGGAAACGAATCGCTACAACTCTGGATGGGGCAGCGACAGGAGAGTTTAAAAGAGAGAGAGAGAGAGCAGGAAGCGAGACCAACATACTACCTGGCACCACTCAGGAGGTAACAAGAGGCAAATTTCAACATCCACGCTCTGCACTTGGGTGTGGAAACTGAGAGGCGCAGCGCAGCTGGCCAAACCACCTTCCCATCCATGTGAGGAAAAGGTTTCGCTCTGCAAGAGTCTCTGGCCTGGCTTCTGAAACTGGGAGGATGGAAGTGTCAAGGAATCTCTGCTCTCAGCTCTTATCCTGGGCATCCCTAGTTAGAAAGGCCCTGAATCCCAAAATATTCCACCCCGATTCATTCACGGGTTCCAAAAGCCACAAAACCAGGCCTTTACTTTGCACAAGCCCAATTCGCTCCTGCGATTACAAAAGGAAGATTCCTGGCTTAAGGGATGGTGGGTTATTTGGCCCTAGAGTAGGGTTGCCACACGTCTGGGAAAACCCGGTTATGTCCTCTTTTGGGGGGCCAACGTGCCCATCCGGATTTTTACATTTTAAAGGAAATTTCCAGGTTTTTGGGGTGGCTCGGGTGGCTCTGCACACCCGCAACCACAAGTCTACTTCCCCAGCTCGGGGCTGTCCTCTTTTTTGCTCCTAAGATATGGCAACACTAGAGACTACAATCCCTCGGGTCGGGCATAATACTAAGGCCGGAACTGTGGTTCTTTCTCCCCAGCTCGAGAGGAAAGGAGCAAAGCAGGCACAATCTGCCCACACCCCATAAAAACTAATTTTAGGGCTTACTGCGACAATTTGCAAGTGGAGATTCTTTGGGGTCTGTTCCCCTACCCACCTACATCGCACGGCAAAGCGTGAACTATAACCCTGAAGACCCTGCCCAGTGAGAGGCTTCAAAACCGAATTCTCTCTCTAAAAAGAATTTTAAGGGCTGGGGGGACATGTCTGTGAGCAAAACAGACGCATTTCAGTCATGAGCTGTCTTCCCTAATAGTGTCACACACAAGATGTCCATACAGGCTTAGATCCAAGAGTTCCCCCTTTGTATGACAGAGAAAGTAATCCTCCTTTCGTTGGCAGAAGAGAACTTTTGGATCCGGTCTCCGCTGCCAACAAAATAATTATCATGTACAGCCTGAAGATGGAATCTGAACTCTTGTGCCCTAGAACCAAAAGGTTCTAGGCCTGGTCTTTCCCTGGGATTCAAACGGGGGCAAAGGATGTTGGGATTTTGCCTCAAGTTACCTCCACCCCCCGCACGGGATGGAAAACTTTAGCAGCTGAAACAGCAACAAGGCTGCGAAGGAAGCAAACACATTTTCTATTACAAACAGGGCAAAGAGCACAATTCTGGCAGCGACCCTGGAATCAAACGTCGCCAGTGACACTTTGGTTGTAAACCCTTCAAAATGCAAAGAGTTGTAGTGTTAGAAACACACAATAAAAAAAAAACCAAAAGAATGATCTCACTTTGGGGGGGGGTGTAGTGTAAAAATGAGATCTGGGGCGGGGGGAGACTTTTATACAAAAGGAAGGTTGTTTTTTTTATAAAAA